ACAAGTCCCGTCTGGTTCAGGAATGGCTTGGGGAGCAGGAGTATGCGGTGCTGGAATGGCCCTCCTCCTCCCCGGACCATAACCCGATAGAGCACCTGTGGGCCCACTTGAAGAGGGAGCTGGCCTAGTACGAAAAGCCTCCCTCTGGAATGTTGGAGCTGTGGGAGAGGGTCCGGGAGGAGTGGGACAAGATCCCTGCAGAAGTCTGCTCAAACCTCATTGGCAGTATGCTAAGGATGGTGAGGGTGGTGATTAAGGCAAAGGGGCGATGGACTAGGTATTAGAAGTCTTGGTTTAAAGTTTGCTGCCTGTCCTCGGAACAAATTGTCCGGATGTCCTCTTGGTAAATGATTAGGAGCTTGGCAAACGCCTTGTGTACTTCTCTTGTACCTAACCTATAGGTTCTCCTCTAAAAGTGTATGCTCATGAAAGATTAAGGCTTAGTGTTCTTTGACTACAGGGACTTCAAACCTTCAATTGTGCTCAACATCCGGACAATTTCTTCCGTCACTGTATTTTGACCTACTAGTTCTAGTCCGCATTAGTGGGCTGTTGCCCGACCTCATTCTAGGACATTATTACTGGGCTCCAACCCACTTCGACATAGTTCTAGGTCGTGTTGTAGGGCTCTAGCCCGTTTCGACTTGGTTCTAGGTCGTTTAAGTGGGCTTTGGCACATTTAGACCAAGTTCTATGTTGATTTAGGGCTGCAGCCCACTTGGACCTAGGTCTAGGTCGATTTATAGGGCTGCAGCCCATTTCGACCTAGATCTAGGTTGATTTATGTTGCTGCAACCCATTTCGATGTAATGCTTGGTTGATATATTGGGCTGCATCCCATTTCGATTTTCGGTTTGCTGTTTTTCCGGAAGCCCCTTTTTATTTATTTTGTATCCTTCTATAATTTGTGTTCACTGTCTGTTTCTTATCTTATTTCTTGCCTTATCTCTTGATTTCCTCTCATTATCCTTGATTCCTGTATGTTTGGCACAAGATTTCAAGCACTCGTGAAAGATGGAGAGTGGCTTGAAATATTTCAAATATCTAAAAAAAAAAATAGTGTTCCTCTTTTAGCTCTAGTTCATTTTCTTCATTTCTTTTACAATATGCTTCCCTCCCCCCTCTAAGTTTGTGTTTTTCTTGGGTCATTTTTTCTTTTGTTCTTCCCTTTTCCACATCGTCTTGTCGTCCTATTCCTTTTTTGTTTCCTTCTTTCTTTCTTTTCCCGTATTTCCCTCCTCTTCTTACTTCTTCTTGCTTTCCCTCTTTCCCGCCCTTCAGATTGTTCTTCCTCTACTTTCTCAACACTTATCTTTTGTTCCTTCTGGCTCCATACAATTGTCTATGCTGCTCCTTTTTGCTTCTCTTTTGTTTATGATTTCTTCGTTCCTTTCTCCTGTTTTTGCTCCACTTTTACTCCTTCCTTAGCTTTATCCTCTAACATTCCTTTTTTACTTCGTTCATATCCCCATGATTCATGCTCCTGACCTTTCTTTTCTCGTTCACTGAGCCCTTATTTTCTTTTTCTTTTTTCTCTTGTTTTCATTTCTCACTGCTGGTCATTCTCATGTTGCATCATCCACACGCACTAGTCATATTCATTATTTCACATACATAAAACACCATCGACTCTCATTTTTTTCGTTTTGTTTTGCCTGCAGTTTTTTATGAGTGGATTTGGGTTGTAAATGGTTTGCAGGTGCATTTTGTTGGGATACGTTTTATAAGGAGACCTTCCAGTCTTGTACGACACTTGTAGATGTGTTGCACCTAGTCAATGGTTTCATGCTTATTGTTTGCTTCTCTAGGTTTGATTTGCTTCTTGCCTTCTCTCCCCATTTCATTAGCAATGCATTTTTGTGTTTTTCAAAAAAGGAAAACTTGACCTACATTCATAACATGTTCGCTAACGCGCTCCTTCATAGGTTGAGGTTTCTTTTTGGATGTCACAAACTATGTTGCTTCATGTCATAGTAAAAAAATCAAACTTTGGGTTTGCTGACTAACCAGTGGGGTAGGGGCGATTTGCATGCATGACCAGGAAGCGCATGTTCCGTTCGTCGCTGGCGAAACGGTTTCGTGAAATATGCGATGCTGATTACTAGCCGGATTCGAGCCCGGAACCCTTAATGTAACCCCCCTTTACAGTCTGCCTCCAGGAATGTGGTGGCAGAGAAATTTACAGCCATTTTCCTACATCGTCTCTGTGATTGTAAGATTCCGCCCTTGGGTGTTTTGTTAGCTATCTAGCCGTACGCAGGGTTCCAAGTACAGGGCAGTACCGGCCTCGAACCCTCCTTTTGCAGCCTTGTATAAAAGTTCACTTTGAGAACAGGCCAAACAGGGTAAAACAACCTGATTTTATGGGGCCTGGCCGTTTACCACTTTCTCTGCCTTATCTCCTCTTCCTATTGCCCTTGTTCCTTTCTATGCCATCCTTGAGTGGAGAAACTAAACCCCTCCCCCCCTCACCATTGAGTGAGGGGGTGTTCAAAGCGGGGTCTCGACGTCCGTCTTCGGCACGAAGCGGTTTCTTCAAATTTCAGAATGGTTCGTACGGCTCGAGTCGTGCCTCAGGGCGTCTCCCAAAAAGTCATTTTCACAAAATACCCTACTCAACCGTTCTAGAATCTTATTCGACTCTTCTAGAATGCAAAATAATCTTACGAACCGCAGTCGGACATACTGTTATGACACTCCCTTAGAGATCCACCGATTTCGACCGCTGGGTTGGAGCCAACCCGGCGCCGACTTGCTCGCTAGTGTGCATTGCATGTCTCGGACAACAACTTCCGAATGAACTTCTAAATGAGTCATTCTACGTTCTGCCGCTCAGAAGTAGAAATAATCGCTCTTGCCAAACAACAATTGCCAGAGCCAAGGGCCCATACTCGAGCTTCCAGTAGCATGATGCCCGCGATCGTGGCGCGATGGAGCGCGCAGCCCTTCTTGGCGCGCTTTTTCTTCTGACGTGTCTCGTGGCCTCCCAAGTCGAGGGCATTCCCCTCGCTAACTCCTAGGGTGTGTGCCTCTTAGCACCTAAGTTGAGGTCTAGCTCTGAGGCAAAAGTGAGCCTTTGATGTACATGATATGTCGGTAGGCCGCCGAATTGGAGAACGTTCAAACGCTGGTTGGGGGGGGTTTGTACCACGAATCCGATACGGAATACTTCTGCTCCTGCTTGCGCCACCCACTGAAATGGATGCGCGTGGCGTGGGTAGGGTCGTAGAGGGATGCTTCACTCATCTTTCCTCCTGCGCCCATATTCGTTCCTTGTAATGGGCAGCAGGTTTAGCTGAGTGCGCGTTTTTGGAAAACGCAAAGTGAAGCATCTAAGTTCCCCTCTGTTGCAATCCCTCCCTACCTTCCTAGCGAAGGTGCTGGTGGACTTTCAGAAGGCATGGAACACAACGATTGAAGGCTAGGTTGGTGGGGACTGCCACACCAGGAGCAACGTCACGTGCGATGCCCATGGCATGATTACAGAGATGTGAGTCACGGTCACGCATAGAGGATGCAAGTCTAGAATAGTAGGACCTTGTTGGCCTCCCCATCCTGCCCTCCTGCCTCGCTCCAACCAACCTTCATTCCTCTCAACCCCCCCATCCCTCACCCTCTCCCTCTCTCGCCTCATGGGAGAAAACTACCGGCGAAATGCGCGGATGTGGCATTTCTCCTGCCAAAATGTGCTGGATCTCGCGTTTTGCTGCCGACATGCGTGGATCTGGCGGACATTTAGGCTTTCTTCTTTTTAAAAAGTTGTTCCAGAATGTAAAAAATATATATCGGCGTTCCTTCCCCCAAAAATCACTGGAAAAAAATGATAGAAAAAATAGGCCAGCCATAATTTTCAACCTTGGCCGCATGCGTCACCAACTCCCTCGTGTCGGATTTCAATTGGCCTAGACTCACCATGGTGCACCAGGTGCTTGGTTGAGTGAATTATGCAAGCTAGTGCTATCATGGAGCACAAGGTGCTTGGTCAGATTGATTTTGCAAGCTAGAGTCAGTATGAGGCATTAAGGTTCTTGGTCGGGTGAATCTAGGCTTGAGAAACTAGACCCCGTTTGGATCGGGCCGACCCTCTTTGTAGCCTGAATCGACCATGTCAGGTCCAGTTTTACCCGTCGGTTGTAGTCGACCCGCGACCCGACCTGTCGGTTTTGCTCGGGTCAAGTCGGGTCAACCCAATTTGAATTCGGGTTGCGCACCGACCGAAGGGGAACAGTGCGGCCTGAACCGTGATGGTAGGGAAAGTATCAACCATAAGGTCGGATGGGGGAGTGGGGGAATGCAGTGGATAACCCTAAACCTAAAACATCCCAAAAATTCAGGGCCCTAAGAAAGGGGCGTGACGAGTGACACGCACATCTGCCCCAAAGCCGACCCAACCCGACCTCCGTGCTCGGGAATGATATGACCCGACCTATTTTAGCCTGGTCGGATCAAACAAATGCTAGGGTCGACCCCACCCCGACCCGACCCAACCCGATCTGAACCCGACATGTGGTTGAGCAAAGTTGGGTTGGGTCAGGTCTGGTCAATCCATTGCTAAAATCATAGGTGGATTATGCAAGCTAGAGTCGCCACGGGGCTGGAGCTGCTTTGTTGGGCGGATTATGCAAGCAAGAATCGCCACGGGGCCCGAGTTGCTTTGTTGGGAGGAGTATGCAAGCTAGAGTCTCCACGGGGCCCGAGGTGCTTTGATGGGTGGATTACGTGAGCTAGAGTCTCCTCGGGGCCCGAGGTGCATTGTTGGGCGGATTACGCGAGCTAGAGTCGCCACGGGGCCGAAGGTGCTTTGTTGGGCGGATTACGCGAGCTAGAGTCGCCACGGGGTCCAAGGTGCTTTGATGGGCGGATTACACGAGCTAGAGTCGCCACGGGTTCCAAGGTGCTTTGATGGGCGGATTACGCGAGCTAGATTCGCCATGGGGCCATCAACGGTTAGGTCATCCATCTCAGGGGATATTAAATCATTCTTACGAGCATCCGTTTTAATTGACAAGAACAGTTTACTCTTACCTGATGGAAAAGAGATAAAGCTGTCATCCCGCCTGACCGTCTGCACCATGTGTACCACTGCTAATCAGCTACATGAACCCGTTTCAAGTCACTTTCCAGGATCGATTTGCTACACGCTTATGCAGACAGTCTACAGTGACATCCTGAACTTACCTGAAGCTGGGCCTAAGGGGGAACTCTATATAATATACTTTTATCAAAGCTTGTACTCGCTACATTTGGACTGTCAACATCCCAGCTCGCCATATGGCTCACTCCATTTTCGTCGCATGGCTTGCAGTTGCTGAGAGAGAGTCGAAGGAGAAGCTCCAAGAATTTCAAAGTGACGGAGCAGGAGAGTATACCAGTAACACGTGCAGTGAGTATCTTCAAACCCTATGCATCAAACGCCGAGGGTCCCTGCCACATCAACAGCAACAGATGGGGGTAGCGGAGTGGATGAACAAAACTTTACAAGAGAAGAAGCGAGTTTCTCTAACTCAGGCAGCACTTCCACCGCACTTTTGGACATATGCCTTGGACCATGCAGTTCTTCTGCACAACTTTTTGTCCACAACGTCTCTTCCACAATTTTCTTGGCCACACCTGTAGTGGACAAAAACAGTTGGCAACACCGGATTTTAAGATTTTTTGGTTGTATCATCCATTACCGTCCTCCAACTGCAGCACTCGGATTTTTTTTAGAACGGGCTAAGTAGGGTATACATCTTGGCACCGAGATGCGGTTTTACGCTTGGGAGATTATGGATCTTTGCACGAGTCAAATCTTACCATCACGTGATTGTCTTTTCTACGAACGACTCACCTTACCTATTTTTCGTGCTCACCAGGAAGCATCTGCGAACCCTGTCAGGTTGTTTGAAGGCTCGCAGTGAAGCTGAGACAGATGCACAGGATGAAGCAGTTGCCGACAATTTTGAAGCAGCTGCCACAAACATCCCCATGCCAGCCACGTCAGCCGGAACCGCTGAATTCATCCCACTCAGCGAAGCTGCTTCTGAAGACGTCCGAGACATTATTCTTGATTGCTAACATGATCCTTAGCAGCAGCCAATGCCCGGTGTCTCCAAACCAGCTATCCGTGTGACACCTGGCAAAATTGGGGGGGAACAGGGGTCAGAAGACAATTTCTCCGGTGTCAACTCCAATCGTCCTCGTTTTACAGAAACAGGATTACAAGTTTTGGGACTCGCAGTTGCAGCACAGTCGAACATCAATAAGATTTCAGAGATGAAAACTGTTCGCCAAGATTTGAGCAGTCCACACAGGGAAAAATGGCGGGAAGCCATGGACCAGGAGTTCAGGGCTCTGGAAAAGTGAGGTACATGGGATAAAATCTCACTTAAAGAAGTCAAGGGGAGTAAGGTATTTACCGGCAAATGAGTTTTTCGTGTGAAGACGAACGCTGATGGTTCCTTAGAGAAAATCAAGGCGCGATGGGTTGTCCGATACTTTGAGCAAACTTTTGGACTCAACTACGAGCTAACATTTGCTCCTGTCGGCGGACACACTAGTGTCCGCATCTTACTATGCTTCGCAGCCTGCTAGAATTTCAGACTTCGCCAAATCGACGTCGCCAAATCAACGTCGCCAATGCATTTCTATATGCACCCATCCACGCATTAATTCTGGTTGAGTACCCGCATTCTTACGTAACTTACCCTCCAAGCGTCTGCCGTCTCAGAAAGTCTCTCTACGACACTAAACAGGCTCCACGCCAGTGACAGCAGTATCTTCATGCTCATTTACTTGCTGCCGGGTTTCGACAGCTACCGCACAATCAAGGCATGTATTTACTTATCGACGGCCCTGGATACATTCTTCTCGTCGCTTATGTTGACACTTTGCTCTACGTTAGCACCATTGATTCTCTCGCTACTGCCTTCGAACAGAAATTTCAACAACACCTACAGATCACCATTACAACTACTTCCACACAGTTTCTTGGACTAAAAATTCACCGCACACCAACTGCTATTCATCGTACTGCTTCAAAGTATGCTGCTACACTAGCCGTGCAGTTTAATCTCACACCCTCGACAGTCACTACGCCTTACCGCTCTCTGCATATGGATTACAAACCCGATACAGCTCCGCTTGACAGCACTGAACATCAGCTCTATCAGCAGCAATTAGGTTGTCTCTTATTCGCAGCCGTAACGTGTCGTCCGGATCTCTCCTATTTTGCTAGCCAGCTCGCTCAATATCTGCGTCGACATGAGGGGAACAATTGGCTAGAACTTCTACGCGCCCTACAGTATTTTACTTCAATGCCTGAAGTCGAACATACCTATCAAGTTGTCACTACGAAAACTCTTTATCTTACCGGATATTTTGATGCTGATCACGCAGCAAATACTTCTAATTGTCTCGAACCTATCGTGACCATCTCCTGGAATTCTACAAAGCAAGAACGCATAGCCCTATCAACTGCTGAAGTCAAGTTTATAGCTCCTTGCACAGCTACTCGCGAAGGACTCTACCTGCAAGAGCTACTGGAGGAAGCAAAATTGACGACAAGTACACAGTTCATCTTGCAGTGCGACAATCAGAGTGCAATCAAATCGCGCACCAGCCTCGCCTCGCCAACAAGACGAAACACATTTCACTACGATATTTTTTCGTTAAGGATGAAGTCGAGAAGGGGAGAATGTGATTGGTCTACTGTTCGACCAATGAAATAGCTGCAGATTTTCTCACCAAGAAGCTGAGACGTCAGAAGTACCAGTACTGCAATGAGCTCTGCTGAATCATCAAGAAGTGACCCTGTCGGACTTCCAGAAATGAAGGGGAGTGTTGTGATAAATTCATACTTCAGCATTTCTGTAAGTAGATCAGATAGATATTATCGAGTTACTCTGTAGATTAGCATCCGTAGAATGACGTCAACAAATAGCGCTCGTCTGGATGATTACGTCAGCAGGCTGTTTCAGTCACACAAATAGTCACACCCCTTTCAGTAGCGATCAGAGCGCATAGCGCGAGTATATTTGAACAGGTACATTTACGAACAGGTACTTCTAGCATATATAAAAGTAGCCTGTCTCTCTTTTATCGTTAACTTGTTCTTTAGTAAATTCTAGACACCATTTACAAGTTCTAAGACTTCAGCTGTCTTACTACTCTACCATTCCAGCCAAGATCCTTGCTCAGGTCTTGAAGTATCACAAGGCTGTAACACTAACTCTAGTGTTACAACTTGTGAATACTGGCTCTTACTAGAGGTCCTTCTAGTATTCTTTTGTACTTTAAGTACGTGTGTCGGCAGATTCTGTACCTAGTCTTTTGCACTGTTTTACAAATTCTTACATTTACAAAATATATTTCTTCAAATATATTACGTAGACACTAGGCTTGAAGCTTTCCCCCCCGGCTAGAGATGGGGAAGCGATAGCATATTTTTGTTATATAACAAAGACACACCACATGAATCGATGGGAAACAAAAATGTGTCAATTTATGTTGTTCCCATCATTCTTTGATGCGATTCTTAGTGTAGTTATAAATATTACACTACCCATGTAGTAGACAAGATCTATATCTATGAAATCATATCTAGACATTAGATGCTAGCATGTTAAAATAGCTAAGGGTTTAGGCTAGGTAGGAGAGAAAAATGTCGAGAGCAGGGCCTCAGATAGGAATTCTAGCATTCTGATCACTCAGGGCTGACCACTTATATGCATACTGATTCCTCAGGGTGATTCCCAAGTTCTATACTAAGGCCACAGGGTAAATTCTGGTACGCTGAAAAACTTGCCCAATGTTACAGAACACCAGTTTTCATGCATGTTGTGCTGCCAACCGCTTGGGCAGCAGCGCGCCATGGCAGCTAAGTGTCAGCGCTTCATGTGGTGATGGCTTGATGCAGTGCACTCGGCAAACTGACCAAGAAGTGAGAGCTAAGGCAGCAAACAAGGGGAAAACAAGGGGTACCCCCGTCCCGTGGTGCATATAAATCAGGGTTATCCCTGAAGGCATACTGACAGTTACAGGGTGAGAAATGGGATCAAACTGAAAACTCAGGACTGGCACCTAACTTCCATCCTGAAAATCAGGAATTCAGGATAAAACATCCTGAAATCTGAGGCCCTGGTCGAGAGAAAAGAGAATCGACTAGGAAGAGAGAGAGAGAGAGAGAGAGAGAGAGAGAGAGAGAGAGAGAGAGAGAGAGAGAGAGAGAGAGAGAGAGAGAGAGAGAGAGAAAGAGAGAGAGAGAGAGAGAGAGAGAGAGAGATACAAGAAGGGGGGTTGTCCTCTCTACAGTAGGATCCACAATCTGTAGAACACCTACCAAGCCTATACAAATATATATAATATATATATAATTTGACATAGCAAACTTGGAATACCAAGAGTAAAAAGTAGCTGTTTAACCTTTTCCTAGGTGTGTTTTTTTTTTTTTTGGGTTGCGGAGCAACCTATTACGATCGATTTTGCCGATTTTTTTTTTCACTCAAAATTTTGGAAGGAAAACCTTTGCACAATAAAATGTGACCTACAGATTTTTTTCCTATTACTATAACAAGATGACAGAGGTGTTTATCCTATGATTGTAATTATATGCATATATTTTGGAATAATATTTGCATTATATTTGGCTGATTTTTTGTGTACTTGAAATTTTGGCAGGTCTCTTATCTGATTGCATCATATCGTTGTGTACGGATCCAATCGAGTCCTGCAAGAAAATTCATGTCATAATTGATGACATGAATAAAAAGGCAAGTGTGATGATTATGTGTGACAGTGAAAAACTCAAACTCTAGGCTACCGCTTCCCCAGCGCTAGCATGGGGGGGAAGACAGCAAGCTTAGTGTCTGAATGATTAACTGTGACATGGAGCAACGCAATCTGTAAGGTCCAAAAAAAGAACCAAACCTATCAAATCCAGTTCAAGAGACAGAAACTCAAGGAGCTCGCCTGTGAACCTTTTGTGATTTGATAAGCATGCTTTCTTTTTTTGAAAGAAACAGATGTATATTGCTAATGGAATGAATTGTGGATCGAGAATGAGAGCAAACAAGAGCAGCAAGACGCATCCAACCAAACACAAGACGCCAGCAATTATAAGAATATAAAGCTGAAAATGAGAGAACGGAACAACCCCACAAATTACAGCTGAACGCCATACAAAGCTCATAAACTCGTTTACAAGAAAACCTGCACAAAATTAAAGTGGATGAAGGTGGATAGTGGATAGTATATTAGGCATTGCGTATGGAAAGAAGTGAATAACAATCAGCTAGGGCGAGAATGAATGAGCATGTGAAGTGAACACAAAATGTGATTGTGAAAGGAAAGAGACGACGAGAGAGGTAAAGAGAGAAGTTGAAAGAGAGGTAGAGAGAGAGGGAGAGAGAGAGAGTGAGAGAGAGAGAGAGAGAGAGAGAGGGGGGGGGGGGGAGAGAGAGTGAGCGGGGCATTGCAAGAGAGAGAGAGAGAGAGAGAGAGAGAGAGAGAGAGAGAGAGAGAGAGAGAGAGAGGTAAAGGACGAGAGGGAGAGAGGTAGAGAGAAAGGGGTAAAGAGAGAGAGGGCGAGAAAGGTAAAGAGAGAGATATTGAAAATAACACGCGGAATCGAAGGAAAAGAGTACAAGATTATGATAAAAACAGAAAACGAGCAGAAAACGGAACGACACAGAGATTGAATGGAACACGTAAGCGAGATAGGAAACGAAAGGATAAATGGCACAAGGATTGAATGGAACGTACAAGGGAAAACAACGAAGAACTGAAAAGTAAGGAGGTGACGAGAATGGAAGAGAGAGAGAGAGAGAGAGAGAGAGAGAGAGAGAGAGAGAGAGAGAGAGAGAGAGAGAGAGAGAGAGAGAGAGAGGTAAAGGACGAGAGGGAGAGAGGTAGAGAGAAAGGGGTAAAGAGAGAGAGGGCGAGAAAGGTAAAGAGAGAGATATTGAAAATAACACACGGAATCGAAGGAAAAGAGTACAAGATTATGATAAAAACAGAAAACGAGCAGAAAACGGAACGACACAGAGATTGAATGGAACACGTAAGCGAGATAGGAAACGAAAGGATAAATGGCACAAGGATTGAATGGAACGTACAAGGGAAAACAACGAAGAACTGAAAAGTAAGGAGGTGACGAGAATGGAAGAGAGAGAGAGAGAGAGAGAGAGAGAGAGAGAGAGAGAGAGAGAGAGAGAGAGAGAGAGAGAGAGAGAGAGAGAGAGAGAGAGAGAGAGAGAGAGAAAGAGAGAGAGAGAGAGAGAGAGAGAGAGAGAGAGAGAGAGAGAGAGAGAGAGAGAGAGGGAGAGAGAGAGATGATAGAAGAGGCTATGGGGGAAAGAAAAAGGGCTTGTGCTTACCGCGTTTCCAAGATGCGAATTTAGGATGAAAATGTGGGGAAAATGTAAGAGCTCGACGAAAAGGAAGGGGAAGGAATCCAGCAGAGAAGAGGAAAAACGGGTGAGAGGAGGGGTTAGAATGAGTGTCGTGCATCTATGCTGAAATCGACCACTGACATTTCCATAGCTAGAGAAATCTATCGTGCCTTGGGAGAAATCAATCGTGAAGTTGGGAGAAGTCTATGATGCACTAGCTGTTGGAATATTGTACAAAATTTGCTTGTACAAAATTCTGAATACAAGCAGAATACTAAACTATGATGCACTAGCTGTCAGAATTTTCTACTGCATAGAATATATGAAATAACTATGATATTTTAACAGATACTTTCACATCAAAGCTTGATAATTAGCTTAAGCATATGTATCCTACTCATATATATACATATATAGGCTCCGCAACCCTAAGACGATGGCGTCGTCTCTTTTTTTTTTTTGGTAAAAAATATCTTAAAAACTTCAAAATAAAATTTCGCCCAATCCATTGCAATAGGTTGCTCCGCAACCCCCAAACAAAAATCGTTCTTATAATTTCGTAAGATTAGCCATGGGGCTTATTCTTTAAAATTCGATCATTGGCCCCTTCACCCCTTCCCAAATCTATTCGCCCTACACGCCCCTAGGGTCGCCTATCAGGGTGGATTGGATACGCTACGTGAGTTGTGCAGGGACACGCTTGGAAAATGGGTGGCCTACCTTGCTATGAGATGCGTGGAATGGAATACATACCCCGAAACATTAGCGTGATACTGCAATCATCTCAAACATAGCCCACGAATTTTGGAAGCCAGTTAAAAAAAAATTATGGCACACATATAGACCTGGCTCCTATGGTTCCAGAACAAGACTTGGCGTTATACTCATAAAACTTTGAAACCGCTGAGGCAGTAGCTCCATCGTAGAAGCGGTAAGCAGCTGAACACGTCATCGATGGTGAGACTGGCTTGGTCCTGCCCTTTTTGCACATACCCAATTTGAATGACCAATACTCTGCCCTGAGACAAATCTGGGATAAGATGCATGTGAAACAAGTGCATGGGATTGTTAGGGCGGGGAAACAAAACTTGACAAGTGAAGCTAGGCAAGGGCGACAAGGAAAAAACTCATGTGGTAGCTATGCAAGGAAATTACTACGAGCATACTGGCAGTAGTGTCTGATTGTTGGATGTCAAATGGCACATAAGCTCTGGCGCCCCACGAAGCACAACCACTCCTGTCCACTTCCTCCTTGCTCTCCCATCGACCTCTCCTCCCTCCCCCTAACCCCCCTCCTCCTCCACACGGCCCTCACCTGCACGCCAATCTTGCTGCCAACAACGGAGACAGAAGAAGGAATGGTGCGCGAGCAAGTGAGGCCGGGGTTGTTGCAGTACAGCTCAGCCCAGGAGTATCCGTCGACACCTTCACCCGGCTGGGTGTTCTTCTGAAGCAGTCGGTCGCACGTGTCTAGAGGTGTCACCAAGCCGTATCGCAAACAATCGGGGACAGTGAAGGCAAAGGTAGCATTGCGCTCGACGCACACGGAGCGGCCCGCCTTGATGGGCTTGGAGCAGTCAAGGCCGGGGTTGAGAGCGGTAAGGTTTCCCTCATTCATGTTAACCCGATTGCTGATGGATGAACAGGTGTCCCCCTGGATGGTTGAACACGGACAGGGAGAGTGTGCTTGTTGCGTGTTCATGGCATTGAGAAGAATGTGATGTGCTGAGTTGGCTAGGAGTCGGTTGAGAGCTAAGGCAGGTGTAATCGAGAGGGCGCCAGATCTCACATCCCAGCTGAAGAAGGCAGTGCAGGGTGTGTTGGGAGTACCACCCAGCTGAAGAACACTTCCCATGGGCAATGGTTGGCTGCAATCTATGGCCTGCATAGTGAAACATATGCGTGAAAAAAGGTGGCGGTTCTTATCGTAGACCTCATGGTCAAGGCCTCCACTCCTTTCAGGGGCGTTCAAGAAGCGAAGGTACATATTAGCGCGGTGTAAGTACCCACCTTTGATCATCTCATACAGGCTACACATTGCATGCGACTATGTCCAACAGAATAAAGTCCAGATTTTTCCACTCCTAAAACCAATCTGTACCGCATTCTGGAGTGTGAATTGATCTGATGAGAGGCCGGCAAGCGGGTAAATATCCGAACACAGCCAGTTGCCTCCACTGACAGTCATGCTGGTGCCTGTGGTATTAGCTGAATAATATATCGGGAGTGAGATGGAGGCATCAAGGAGAAGACGCAAGAGAATTGACTTTGGGGAGAGAGGAAATGGTAGGCCCAATTCATGCATTTAGGCAAAAAACTGTTAGTCGTGAAGCATCTGTGCGTGAGACTTTGAATAAGACAAACTGGACATATTCAAACGCCACTAACGAAGCATCACCTGGATCACAGGTGGGTAATCCTTCGACAGTTCTGCTTTCAATGTGGTTGGGAGGGCATATGCAAGAGTAGGCGCCCTTGCCATCGTTGATGCATGAGCCCACGTAGCAGGGGTTCGTGAAGTACGACCCACAAACGTCCACTGAGACGATTTTATCGGGGTGGTGAAAAGAGGGACATCGGGACAAGAAATGCATGAGGGTAGTGAGACATGCTAGTAAAAGACAATGTTAAGGGTCTGGTAAGATCAATCGTGCCATGCCCGTGTACCTGCATGGCTTGCGCTCCAATCGGGAGGGATAAACAACCATGGTATAGCCAGCTGGCTACCTAGGGAGCCAGACCCCCGCCCTGTTGCTCGACCTTGCCAACACATGATGGTCTCATTGGATGGGACTCTGTCCCTTGGAGACTGTTTGCGGTGTGGGAGATGTTGTTGGAGCTCCTGCAGTTGCCACATGTGTTTTCCTCACCTTGCCTTAGCTTGTGCTAAGGTTTCATAAAAATACCAGCTGCTTGAAAAAGTGAAGGTGGGGTTGCAGCAGTTGTTCACAAAACACGTGCGCCACAAGTGCCAGGTGTACTATAGTGAGATATCAATATGTGCAAACTCACACCCCCAATACATCCAATTCTTACCATAAGCACATGTGCTGGAACCATTTCCATTCCCAACCTCAACAAAAGGCGAGGTGATAGCTTCAGGAATACTGCAGCTACAGCTATTGCTGCTGTCGGTAGTTGCTTGGCACTGGAACCGGCCGCACGGGTTCATGCTGGGCTGCGAATCCCCATCTCCCTTGTAGCTGTTTTGGCCACAGGGGTCCCCTGGAACTGGAAGGTGACATAGGGGATACACACAAAACACGTGAATGTTGTAATCTATACTTATATAGAACATGCATGACTAGAATACGGGGTGTAGACATTTAAGTTATTGGGGGGTCGTTGTAGGGTTCACCAACCACACTTCGGGTTGGTCAAGATTGGATTTGGCCTTGGTCCTTTGGTTGGCACTTTCCAACCAAATGGTCCCAAGGCTCCACCAATCAGCAATTACCACACTTTGGGGTTGCCTCCCCTCCAAGCTACCTCTCCCATTGGCCGCTATTGTAGCCAATAGTGGTGGCTTCCCTTCCAACCTTTCATTTCCTCCTTTGTTGTACTATAGAGCCTCTTGGCCCTCATTCTAGTTCAATTCTTTCTCTCTAATGTTATTTCTCTCAGTGAAGACCATCTCCCAAGGTACAGCCCGAATGACCGCTCGTTCACCAGTTTGAGTCGACACAAAAGCAACCTGAAGTACAACCAGGGACAAGATTCTCAAAGGTTCCTTGCTACAAGCAACAGAGTCCTCAATCTACTTGTTCCGATTTGGTGTGATATGATGTTTGCATTGTACTGTGGTTGCACATGGTGACTCACCTCGCGCAGACCTGGTGCTGTGAGATTGGGCACGGGGGGAGTCATGGCTATTTGATATCACCATCGGCTGCCCCATGACCAAGAACAGGGACGTCCGAGCGCAGAAACCTACCGGCTGGGCGGCCGAAGAGGCGGCCAAAGGGAAAGGATGATGAGAAGCGCCAAACCGGCCTCAGGTTCGTTCCCTTGACAGTTAAAATGTATGGCTGCAATGGCAAGCGGACTTGTCACTTCTTCCAACATCTGTCTGCTGCCGCTGCAAACCTTCGTTTCCAGGCCGAGCCCCTCCCTCAGATTGCACAGAAGTTCATTTCTGCAGCGACAGTCGGTTGCTCTGCTGCGGGAGAGCGCAATATCCACAGCTCGGGGTTTTTGCGATCTTCAACCTGAGCAGTCCTCACGGGGGGAGGCCGTGAAGCTGTTCCACACCTACCGCCTGGTCCATCACGCAGCCAGGCCAACGCGTTGATCTTGACATCTCTTGCAGCTTGGCAGTAGTCCTCATGGCCATTGCTTCAGAGCCTCAGACACGCGCATTGCTTCAGAGCCTCAGACACGCGCATTGCTTCAGAGCCTCAGACACGCGCATTGCTTCAGAGCCTCAGACACGCGCATTGCTTCCTGGACATCACGTCACAGACAAGGGCTCTGATGCCATGGACATTCCCATTGCTCTCTGTTCCGTGCTCCAACACGGGATCAGATTTGTGCTTGCGGGTGGGGTGCGGCACCTCATTACATGTTTGTATTAAGCAACCAACTCACAGCGTGTCAAAAGTTTTTCAACTATCAGCAATCGAGGCACATGCCAACTTAACCATGTGTGTGGAGGTTTCCCCGGGGAAAAGGAGGGGAAGTCTGTTGTACCTTGTTCTTGTAGGCATGAGCAACGGCCCGGCCCGTTCCTAGTCGGCCTAGCTAGGCACGAACCAGGCCGGGCCGGGCCAAGGCCGGGCCGGTTTAAAGAATTTGTAGGCCCGAGCTCGGGTTTAGGACCGGGGCCAACGCATGCCCGAGGGCGGGCGGGGCCGACCTGCCCTAAAAACGGGCCTGTAGGCCTGTTTTGTTTTTGCCTGGTGGCCCTTCGAGTAATCTTCTACGAGTTGGAACACAAGCAGACCTTGTGTTTTGTAGATGAAGATTGGGTGGAGGCGGAAAAATAGAGTGAGTGCTTTTGGCGATTAAAGAATTTGGGTTGGGTGTAGCCATCAGTGGGATCGGTTTGGGTTGGCGAAACGTCGCATTGGGTTGGGTTGACGAAACGTGGGAGAGGTCATGTAGGGAAGGGCTTGGGGGTATAGTAGATTTGGAGTGGTTTGATGCGGTTGGGCAAATTTCTGGGATTGGGAGTTGGAAACCCAACCCAATGTCATGTCGCAATGACAAGGCTTTCTGTTTCTTTTCAGCACGTCGTAATCACTTGACGTTTTTTCACCTACGCTCGCCCCACTAACGCTTTTTCCAACCTGGGAGCAAATAAGGTAGACATGGGAATGAGCCGAGCCTGGCTCGGCTCGGCTCTATGGCGAGCCGGGACCCCGAGTTGCCCGGCTCGGCTTGCCTTGCTGGTTCTTAGGGGTAAGTGGTTTTTGGGGACCCCTGTTTGCCAGCTATGCCCACGTCTATCCTAAGGTTTGCCGAACCCTAGAAACGAGCTGGACCTAACATACACCTTTTAACTAATAACGGTTAGTAATTTAACCAAAGGTCTTGGGCTGATGTCTAGTGTGGAAGTCGAAATAGAAAGTAGAAGGCGCATAGGTAGTTGCGCTGGTCGTTTTCCACAGGGAAATGATCACCGCGGGTTAAAAACTCAACATTGTGGTCGATTTTTCAACAATGTTGAGCCGCGTGGGCCGCGCGTCAGCTCGGCCAATGGGCCGGACCTGCCCGGCCCGTCGCCTGGCCAAAGCCCGGAACAAATGGGCCATGGTAGGCATGCATGAGCAACGAGACGAGTCACACTCAAATCGAGTCGAGCCGGTCAGTGTTGATCCCTGACTCGGGACTCGTTTTCCCTGGGTCGAGTCAGGGTTTACACATTGCGAGGCGAGCTGACTCGCCCAACTCAACTTGAATCGTGACACGCCTGACTCGACTCGAATCGACTCGAATCGAGTCTGGAAGCAAGAATGTGAAACTCGACTCGGAAAAAACTCGTGCAAGGAAAACGAGTCGAGTAAAAACTCGCCTCGTTTGCTCATGCCTAGGCCACGGGACGCTCGGCCCAGGTCGGCCCGCCCAGGCCGACACTCTGAACAAGGTTGGCCCGAGCCCGTCAAAATCCGGATCAGGCACGGGCCGGCCCGGCCCGCGGGTGCCATGTTCACCCCTACATTCCTGATACACAGTGAATGCCTCACCTAATTAAGGGATATTCACTACAGCATTGCAAGTGGGATAAATACCGTACTCTTTGACAATGGGGTAGATGCCTCACTCTTGACAATGGGGTAGATGCCAGGCAGCACGTTGATGCCACACACGCCATCTCCTCCCTGAATATCCATGCGCATGTGGCCTTTGTCCCCCCACTCCACTCCCCACGAGTTGCGGATAATCCAGAATGGAGGAGCAATGCGGCTGTGGCTGTCGTCTTCTCTGTTGATGAAGTAGCCAACCACGAGTACAACATGGTTCAGATTGCCGGTGTAGCACTGAGGATCCCGATATTTGTATATCTGAAGCCAAAGGGGGACAGCACATGCATCACAGAAACAAGGAGTTCAAGAATTTTCGTCACTAATGCGAGAACAAGTTGAAACAAATCCTTTGAACACGCAGTTGCCTTGTCTGTGTTGGCAATTTTCGAGCGGAACATGAGGGAACAAGCTGAGCGGCTAAACCACTCACCCCGTCGTAAGCAACAAACGTTGCAGCCAAAGCCTCAATGTGAACCACCACTGGCTGGCGCTGCACTGCTAGCATGATCCCCACATACCCCTTGAAATGCGTGCGCTCAAATGCATCCACCGGATACCTTGCTGCCTGGGACCACGGAAATGCATGAATGTTGGAAGGGACAGGGAAGGCACAGGGGGGTGGGTTACAGTAAGAGTTTGCGTAACGCACGACCAGCAAAGCAATGTCAGGAAACACTATCCTTCATTGTCGGTTGAATAAAGCGCCTTCACAACAAGTTTGAGAGTCTTGAAGGGCATTGTTGTGAAAGACATTCACATTCTTCAGTGTGCACCTCATGCCTCAACCTCACCTCAATTCACACGTGCTCATTATTGCCGTACCGATTCATTGACCCCTGTGAGTGAATTGCCAACATCAAGAGTGACCAGCTTCTCAAAGGCCTCGGTGGGGGAGCCTCCAGTCGTGCACTTGTCTGTGTCAGTCAGCTTCATGGCTGCAAAGAGTGACTGCACTGACAGCTGGGCAGCGAGCTGGTTCTTTGCAATGCCGTATGCTGCCTCCACACTCGCCACCACCGCATATGCCCAGCAAGCATCTGAGAGGAGAAGCATGCAATGAGGGTGAAGAACACAGCACAGAGGGATGCAAGCATTTGCTAGGTCTTCCAGCAGACTGAACAAACTATAGACTCGCTGAACATGCACTTTGAAGCACACGATCACAAAACCAAGGTGCAAAAAAACGGCGTTTTTTACCTTTTTTTTACCGTTTAAAACAGGATCGTATAAAACGGCCGTATAATACGATTAAAACGGTCGAAAGTTGCATTTTGTGTTTGGTGCAAAAAAACGGCCGTTTTATACGACCGTTTTTTTCGTACCACCGTATAATACGGTGTACATTGTTTTTGGCCGAGCTAATAACGCTTAGGGGGGGGAGGACTAGGGGGGGGAGGACTAGGTGGATGACGCTTAGGAGGGGGAGGATGGGGGGGATGGTGGAGTAGGAGCAGAATGAGACCTAGAAGGCGACGGACTAGGGGCATGGACATCACATACCTGTTTCAAAGCCGCTAATTACCCCGTAGAGCGATGCAGGCCGCTTTCGCAATCAGGCCCCTTGTTTACGCGTGCTTTTTATACATAAAAAAAAAATCATGAAAAAGGTCTAACAAAAAAACGTCGTTTTTTACCAAAACCCACCGTAAAAAACGGCCATTTAAAACGGACCGTTTAATACGGATGCCTTTTTTTTGCACCTTGCACAAAACAACAAAAAGTGTTGTTGTAAAAAACAGTGCAAAAAAACCTGAAATCAAACGCACTTCTTAAACCGCCCACACACTAACTTGCTAACCTCTTTCCACTCACTGCAATTCCCTTGGTTCTTGACAGGCCACCCAAGGAAGGCCACGGAGTCCCAAGTGTGGTAGTCGCGGATGCTCCATGAATCCTCCTTGGTGGCCGACATTTTGTAGTCCGCACTAACATAGCGGGAGAAGGGGCTGGCTCTAGCTGGTGCGAAAGTGGCCACCGATAAGTTGAGGCCAAGGGCTGTGATGGAGGAGAATGGGCGGACAAAGAGATAGATTTGATTGCAGAGTTGTGGAAGTGAGGTAGGTGAGAGGCCTATAGGGTGTGGGAAGCATAGATTGTTTTTGGCATGCAAGAAAATATCTGCACAAGAAAGGAAGCACATATCATTGCGACAGCCAAAATCCCAATGTAATTGAAGTCTAACCTATTGCACTCGCCAATTTGCCTGATCTGGCTGGACATAATTCTGAAAGTTGCGACCTATCATATGAACTTCCGGTTGACACTATGAAGATATCACTATTGATGCCTGACCTTGTTCTTCATTCAGGACAAACTTGAGCGGAGGAAAGCCTATGAGACACACAACGAGAACAAAAGTACCGCAGGAGCCATAAGATGATGGTCTAGTCTTGAGATACGTAGGGAGTGAACCACATGAATAGCTGGCACACACAAGGTCAAGCATCAACATCGTTGCACAAATGATTCGGTAGTGGCAGCAGCTGTGTGGTAGACATGGGCATTTTACCCGGATGGGTAGCGGGTACTTGACTCAACCCGACATTTTGGCCAAGTCGGGTAATAGGATTCCGACGAATTACCCGTCCGGGTCGGGTCGGGTACTCGGGCCGGGTTATGTGTACCCCAAACCCCAGAATTCTCCAGGCCGGGTAATTCGTTACTCGCGGGTACCTAGGGTTGAGCAAAACCGGGTAATTACCCGACCCGACCCGGTTTTGCAATACCCGACCTCGGGTTGGGTATCTTCGGGTCGGGTCCGGGTCGGGTAATATGCCCTCCCACCCAACTCCCTCCCTTTCACCGCACTGAACTCCTCCCCTTCTACAAACTCCAATTTCCAACCAAACTCCCTCCCTTTCACCGCATTGAACTCCTCCCAGTCTACACACTCCAATTTCCAACCAAACTCCCTCCCTTTCACCGCACTGAACTCCTACCCATCTACAAACTCCAACCTTTTCTCCAACCTCACCCAACTCTCTCCCTTTCACCGAACTTAACTCCTCCCCATGTACAAACTCCAACTTCTCCTAAAAATGCTCCACTCGTCCCCCCTCACCTCCCAAACTGTTTTGCAACAAAACCTAAATCACAGCGCGACTTACGCCCATGTCTAAATGGAATACCCGACCGGGTAACGTTTCGGGTAGCGGGTATCGAATACCCGCCCGGGTAACCCGGATCCGACCCGCCGGGTAATAATCCGGAATCCGGATACCCGACCCGCCCAAAAAGCGGATCCGGGTCCCGGGTACCCGACCCGGCCGGGAATTTTGCTCAAGCCTACAGGTACCCGATCCAATTCCGGGTCGCGCAATTACCCGACGGAAACCAGTGCGACGTTTTCCGTTAGGGTTGAGAAAAACCGGGTAATTACCCGACCTGACCCGGTTTTGTAATGCTCGACCTCGGGTCGGGTATTTTCGGGTCGGGTCCGGGTCGGGTAATATGCCCAAGACCCTAACCCGGACCCAGCCTTAGGTAGACATGGTTAAATCGCATCGCATTTTATCGCATTTTGCGATAGCGATTTTTTTTTTTTTTTTTTTTTAAAAGAATATCGCGGCGATGAGATGCGAGAATATCGCGCGATATTTGCGATATCGCGTTTTTATCGCGTTTTTTTTTTGCGATAAAATGCGATATGCGATTTTAAAAAATCGCGCGCGATACTTTTGCGTATCGCGCGCCTATGTTGCAAAAAGCGTGGTTAGCGTTTTAAACGCTAGCGTTTAAACGCAAATCGCTCACGAGCCGGGGGGGCAAACGCCAGGAAAACGCTAAATCGGGCAGGGCGCTTAGACTAGAGACTGCTGTCTAGGTCAATATCGTTGCAATTAAGTAGTGCTAACAGTGCAGCAGGGAGCGCTGAGGAGCACCTAGGTCGCCTGATCTGTACGATCGACGTGTTTCTGGTGAGTAGAAGTATGTGAGGAGTGGTGGTTGGGTTTCCTAGATGAGATGGGGTGGAGAGTGGTTGAAGCAATTTTAGGTGTTTGGTTGGCATTGTACCTTCATTAGATTTCACGATGTTCCTGGTTGGATTCGACACATCGCGAACTGTCGCGCAACTTTTTCGTTTCTTTTTTTCGTCGGGCTGCCCCGAAATGAAAAAAACCCGAGCCTTTGCGTTCTTCTAGCGTCTTAGCGTTTTGCGTTTAAACGCAACCGCTTAAACGCAAAACGCTCGCCTGCCAGAGCGTTTTGCGCAACATAGTCGCGCGCGCGAAATTGGCAGATTTGGGAGTTGGGAAAACGAAGCCCAAAAAGGGCTGCGACAAATTCTCTTTGAGAGAACCCCCACCCCAACACATTCCCACCTCATTTCCCACCACCACCTCACTCCCATTCCCAAGCTAGCATGCAAACACAATATGCAAACCCTTGGAACTCCCTTAGCCACCTAGCCAGACCTCCACTCCCGCATTCCCTAGCATAGGCATGAGCAAAACCGGGTATTTACCTGACCCGACCCGGTTTTGCTATACCCGACTTCGGGTCGGGTATTTTCGGGTCGGGTACGGGTCGGGTAACATGCCCAGGACCAATACCCGGACCCGGGATTTGGGGGCGGGTAATTTAATACCCACCTGGCGGGTCCGGGTATACCCGACCCGGTTTCCTTGAAAAGCGGGTAGTATTACCCGCGTTTTTCTGCCCTGTTGGGCTACTAAGCCGACGACCTAGATAGTGCTTAAAAAAAACGTGAGTTGCGGGAGGGAGTATGAGGTGCGCCAAATCTTTAACAGTTCTGGTGTGGTGAGTGGGTCGTGAGTGGGGCCTGAGTGAGGAGTTGGTTGGGTTTTCTAGTTGGGATGGGGTTGTGTGCGGTTTCTGGGGGTTTGATTCTTTGACCCCCAGAGTCAATTGGTTGGAACTCCAACCAATGTGGTGCTGTGCGGTTGGCTGGATTCAGGTTGGGTTGCAAATTCGATTGAAGAAATTCGATTGGTTTGACTTCCAACCAATTCCCCCCAATTCAACCACTCTGAATGCATCTGTATCTACGAAACCCAACCCCTGCCAATCTACAATGCTCTAAGTGACCTAGCAGCTCACGTAACCTAGAAACTTGATGAAATTTCTCTACCAGCGTGACTAATGTCTCGCTGGTTCCGTCGGGTAGACATGCTACCCGATTTTGGGTCGGGTACCCGCTACCCGACGCGTCGGGTAGCATTTCGGGTACCGGGTATTGAATACCCGTCGGGTAACCCCGACCCGACCCGCCGGGTAATATTCAGGATTTCCGATACCCGACCCGCCCTAAAAGCGGATCCGGGTACCGGGTACCCGACCCGGGCGGGTAGTATGCTCAACTAGACATGGTTAAAATGCGATGCGATGCGATATTTCAAAATTTGAAATCGCATATCACTTTTTAGGGTGCAATGTTACAAAATATCGCACCCATGAATGCGATATATCGCGCGATGCGATTTAATATCGCATCGCATTTAGGGGTCGGAGGAGAAAAGCAGAACGACAAGGCCGACTTTCCTAGGTGTGCGAGGAATTAGGTGAGTGAAGTTTAACGGGAGAATGGGATATCGTAGCCCCTCTCTGATGTAAAGCGTGTTAGAGGGGCAGGGGTTGGACTCAGTGGATGTGGAGGAATGTAGTGTGGTTGAAGTGGTGGAAATTGGTTGGACTTCCAACCAATTGACATAGTGGGGGTCGAGATTTCAATCAACCCCCTAAATCCCTTTGACCGCACACCACCACATTCCATCCACCACCGCCCATGTCAAAATTTGAACCTCCAACCAACTCCCTCCCCTCAACCGCACTGCACTCCTTTTCAACTAGATTTTCCAACCCTTCCTCTCCAAGCTCCTCACAAACACCTCCCCGTCAATTACGCCAACCCCAAACAGCCGCGCATAATTTCCGCACGCCATTACAACCAGAGAACCCTAATTTTTGCTAAGTTCAGGGCCCACGCCCATGTTCCCCCCCCTTTCTGGCGCAATTCCGCGACGCGATATGCGGATGTATGGAGCGTGATATTTTAATAACGCATATCGCGTTATATCGCGCTGAAAAATCCGCGATAAATGCGCGATATCGCAAAAATCACGCGATATAATCGCATCGCATCGCTGCGATTCTTTACTTCAAAAAAATAAAAATCGCAATAGCAAAATGCGATAAAATGCGATGCAATATATCGCGATGCGATGCAATATAGTCATGTCTATGCTCAACCCTACCTTAGCATAGGTACCTCCCTGTTTGCTACTGAAGGAACTAGCTTGGAAGAGAAAAGATTGAATTGAGTAGGGAGCCCAGAGGCTTTTTTGTACAAAACAAGGAGCAAGGAAGAGTTGGAAGGGAAGCTCTCCTATTGGCCATAAAGCGGACCAATGGGAGAGGTTGCTTGTAGGGCAAGCAACCACAAAGTGTTGTGCTCTCCGATTGGCCACAATGTGGACCAATGAGAGAGATTGCTTGGAAGGCAAGCAACCACAAAGTGTGGTGCTTGGTGATTGGTTGGTTCCTAGGCCCAAGGACCATTTGGTTGAAATAGTGCCAACCAAATGTCTAGGACCAAATCCAATCTTGACCAACCCAAATGTGGGGCTGGTCAACCCAACCAACAACCCCCCAATAATCATAATGACTACACCTCCTAATCTAGGCATGCATGTTGTATAGATATATATTTTACAACACAACCCAACCCCCCAACATGCATAAGACTAGAGGACTTGAATTAGGAGGCGGACAAGGGAATGGGGGGAGCGAGTCCAAGAAGGCGAAGGAGGGATGAGTGGGCGGCGTGGGGGAGGGCTTTGGTGAAGGTGTCCGCAAGATTGGCAGCAGAGTCAATCTTGCCCAGCTGGAGGTGGTCACCCTGCACAAGCTCGCGAATGAAGTAGTGGCGAAGCTCAATGTGCTTGGAGCGCCCGTGGAACACAGCATCCTTCGTGAGGTGGATTGTGCTGGCGTTGTCGCACCAGATGGTGGGACAGCGCTGAGGTGCACCAAGCTCCTCAAGAAGGAAGGTGAGCCAGCGGACCTCCTGCGCAGCCATGGTAGCGGCATACAGCTCTGCTTCGCAGGAGGAGAGGGCAATGGAGGAGGAGCGGGTGGAGCGCCAGCTGATGAGGCCGCTGCCAAGAGAGAAGCCATAGCCCTGAGAGGAGCAGCGGTCAGGCCTAGAGTCAGCCCAAGAGGAATCAGAGTAGCCAGTGAGGAGGGGAGGGGAGGGGCCGCCAAGGGTAAGGACGTAGTCCTTGGTCCCCTGAAGGTAGCGGAGGACACGCTTGGCCGCTTGCCAGTGGGCGGCATCATGCTTGCCGGTACCAACGAAGCGGGCCAAAACACTGATGGGGTATGCCAGGTCGGGGCGGGTGGAGACCATGGCATACATGAGAGAGCCGATGAGCTCAGCGTAGGGGTGGGAGGAGGAGGAGGGGGAGGTGAGGGGAGTGAGGTGGTGCCCAACAGGAAGAGGGGTGACCTGAGGGGTGCCTCGAGCCATGTCGAACCACTCCAGGACCTGCTGTAGGTAGTGGCTCTGGGAGAGGGAGATGGTGCGAGCAGCACGGTCGCGGGTAATCTCCATGCCGAGATAGTGCTGCAGCTCCCCTAGATCCTTACACTTGAGCCGGCTGCCAAGCTCACGCTTGACGCGCTCAAGCTCAACGGAGTCGGCAGTGATGAGGATCATATCGTCGACATAGACGAGGATGTAGAAGGGGGAGGGGGAGGTGCGGAGGAAGAGGCTCGGGTCGGCGCGGGAGGTGCTGAAGCCAAGCTCGGCGAGGGTGGCAGCAAGCTTGGCATGCCACTCCCTTGGTGCCTGCTTGAGCCCATAGACTGGTCGACGCAGCTGCCAGACAGAGTCGGAAGGAAAGGGGAGGTGGAAGCCTGCAGGACGCTCCATGTAAATGAGCTTGCGCAAAACCCCTTGGAGGAATGCGTTGGAGACGTCCATGGAGTGAATCTCCATGTTGAGGCGAGCGGCGAGGTCGAGGACTGCGCGAATGGTAGCGGGCTTGGCGGTGGGAGAGAAGGTGTCGAAGAAGTGGACATCGTAGCGCTGGGTGAAGCCCTTGGCGACGTAGCGGGCCTTGTAGACCGACGGCTCGCCAGGAAGCTGCTTCACTCGAAACACCCACTTCCCTTTGACCATGTTCGTGGTAGAGGGAGGGCGGGGCACATCCACAAAGGAGGAGTTGGCAATAAACGCCTCCAACTCCTTGAGGATGGTCGCGAGCCAGAGGTGAGCGTCAGGGCACGCCATGGCCTCCTCGTACGTGGCGGGGACGAAGATGGTGGGGGCGGAGGAGAAGGCGAAGACTGGTGTGCCGCTGAGGTCAGGGGAGATGGGTAGGAGGGCTGGATCATGCAGGTGGAGGTTGAGGAACTCCTCATGGGAGTCCTCGAGGAGGGAGGAGTGGAAAATGAATGGGAGGACTGCAGCTGCTGCTGCTGATGATGCATCTGCTGCTGCTGCTGCTGCTGCTGAGGCGGCTGCTACTGCTGCATCTAGGCTTGAGCATGAACCCGACCCGACCCGACCCGACCCGACTTTGCCCTACCCGATGTCGGGTTCGGGTCGGGTCGGGTCGGGTCAAGTCGGGTCGGAGTTCAGGAAATGTCAACCCGACCCGGGTTTAATAGGTCGGGTACTACCTAACCCGATTTCGGGTCGGGTTGGCACAGGGGCAGGGATGGGTAATAAGCCGACCCGACGGGTCGGGTTTAAGGGTCGGGTCGGGTCGGGTCGGGTCGGGTACCCGAGGGTCGGGTCAACCCTCCGTAAATGTCGACCCGACCCGTCAAAAAGTCGGGTTACCCGACCCGTTGCTCAAGCCTAGCTGCATCTGCTGCTGTCGCTGCTGCTGCTGCGGGTGAAGGCGAGGAAGGAGCGACGGCTGCTGCTGCTGGTGCTGCTGCGGTGGGTGGAACTGCTGCTGCAGCTGTTGCTGCTGCTGTTGGGACTGCTGTACTGGCGCTCGACGGCAGAGTTGGGCTAGTGTTTTGTTGTAAGACTGTCTGAAAAAGGAGGTCCATGAGAGGGGAGAGAGGAGGCAAGGTAGAGGAAGAGAGGATAACAGGAGGGGGGGCACCTAGGACTGCGTCACGCGACCTGGTGTGGGGATACCGGGTGAGGATGGAGCGGGTGGGACGCAGGGGGGAGGGGGTCGCGGTGGAGAGGGGGGAGGAGGGGAGGGGGGAGGATGGGAGGGAGTGGAGGGGGAGGAGTGGGACGGGGAGGCGGGGGGAAAAAAAGGGTCAGGGTCAAATATGTCACCAGAGGAGGGGGGAGCGCTAGGGATCGAGGCGGCGGGGAATGGAGGAGGTGGAGCGGGGGGGAGGATGGGAGGGGGAGGGAGAAGAGGGGGTGGGATAGTGTCGGACCAGTTGAGGGGCCTGGGAGCAGGGGCGAGAGGGTCAGTGGGGGGAGGAGTGGAATAGTATGGTGTGGACTCATCAAAGACTACATCCCGACTGCGGAGGAAACGACCAGAGGGGGGGTGAAGGAAGAGGTAGTCCGGGGAGGAGGGATTATGACCAAGGAAGATGCAGGGGAGGGTACGGGAGGCGAGCTTTTCCATGGTGCGGGGGCGGTCCGCAGGGTGAATGAGGACATACGCCCTGGAGCCCCACACACGGAGGGAGGAGACGTCAGGCTTGGCCGACGTCCAGAGCTCGGTGGGAGTGGTGGAGGGAAGGATAGGGTGGGGGTACAGGTTAGTAAGGAGGGTGGCGTGAAGGTGGGCATAGCCCCACAGAGAAGGGGGGCAAGAGGCATGGACGAGGAGACACCGAGCAATCTTGGTGATCTCTCGAACACGGCTCTCGGCCACACCATTCTGCTGGGGGGAGTGGGGGAGGGTGTGAGTCTGGCGAATGCCATGAAACTCACAGTAGGAGGCTACCTGACGATTAAGGAATTCGCCACCGCCATCAGAGTGAAGGCGGCGCACAGGGCGGCCAAAGTGGGTGCTCGCCTGCTTGAGCCAAGCGATGATCGCAGCCGGAGCGTCACCCTTCGAGCGAAGAAGGGAGACGGACGAACATCGGCTGTGATCATCGACCAGAACAAGCATGTAGCGATGGCCCTGGCGGGAAGGGGAGGGGTTGGGGCCCCAGAGGTCCGTGTGAACAAGACCAAGCGGCTGAGCAACAGCGGAGGGGGAACTCCGATGCGGCAGCTGCTTGAGCTTGCTCTGGACACAGACGGAGCAGGGAGGGGCAAGGGGGGGAGGGAGGGGAGGGAGGGTGAGGGGAAGACCTCGAAGGAGACCTGAGGAGACGGTCGAGCGGAGGGTGGCAAAGTTGGGGTGACCAAGCCTGTGGTGGAGGAGGACGGTGGGATGGGAGAGGGATCGACAGGAGCAGGTTGGGTCAGGGGGGAGGGGGGGGAATGGTTGGGTTAGAAGGAGGGAGAGGAGGGGGAGGGATGTGAGGTGGGGGGAGGGAGCGGGAGACTGCCTGGGCAGAGGGAAGACGAGGAACTCGAAGGGTATATAGGCGGGAGCGAGGACAAAAGGGAATACAGGAGAGGAGGCGACCTGTGGGATGGTATAGGAGGCAGTGATTAGCGCGACCTGGGAAGACGGTGGTGATACCGGCCTGCTGCAGGGATCGCTGGGAGAGGAGGTTAGTACAGAGGGAGGCGATGTGTAAACCAGTAACGGTACCTGAGGGGAAGAGGGGACAGGGGAGGGTAGAGGTGTGGCGACAGGGAATAGAGAAGCTGGAATCGGCACCAAGGAGGGAGGTGGGGGCTGGGAGAAGGTGAAGGGTACCAGCATCACAAAGGACGGACTCGGTGGCTCCACTGTCAAGGACAAAGTCCAGCGTGGTGGAGGGGGGAGGATGTGGGGGAGGAGATGGGACGGAGTACTGAATCACATTCTCATTAATAGCAGCCGAATACATGGAAGGGGCGGGGGTTCCAGCCTGACTAACCATGCCAACAAAACCAGAGGAGGGGAAAGGAGTCACACTGCCTGTGGCTGAGAGCGCGGGAGACGCGCCCGAGAGGTGAGCTGCGGAAGCGGCGGTGCCGGCGGTCCAAACGGGGTAGGGCTGCTGGGGGGGAGCCATAGGAGGAGGTGCAAGGGGGAGATGCGACTGGAGGTCAAGCTGCTGCTGGAGCTGCTGAAGCTGCTGTTGCAACTGGGAGAAGAGGTGCTGCTGCCCTGCTGCTGCTGCTGCTGCTGGAACTGCTGCTGCTGCTGCTGAAACGGCTGCGGCAGGATCTGCTGCGGAGTCTGCTGCTGCTGCTGTTGCTGAGAGACGGCCTGGTGGGCCAAGGGGGAGGAGACGGGCTGGAAAAGAGGGGAGGTACGAACCTCTTGAGGAGTGGGACGAGGGGAGAGGGAGGACCAGCGGGGGGGGGGGTGCCGGTGTTGCCGCGGGCAAACCACTCATCACTGAGCGCTTTGAAGCAAGAATCAGTGGCATGAGTGGTCTGGCCGCAGAGCTGACCCCGCGTGGGGCCATAGCGAGGGAGATACTGACAAGGAGGAAAGGCGGCTGCTGCACCACGTCCTGAGCCATTGCCACCACGACCCGCACCACCACCACGACCGGCGCCACACCCACCCCCACGCCCTCCCCTGGTGTTGCGCTGCTGAGCAATAGCGGCAGTTGAGGAGGAATAGCGCAAGAGGTCGGCCTCGGTGGTGATAATCCACTGGGCGACTTCAGCCGGGGTGATGCGCTTGTCGATCAGCTGCATGTAGGCGATCTTATGGGTGTCGAAGTCAGGAGTCAAGCCTTCAAGGAGGTGGCAGCAGAGCACTGGGTCCGGGTACGGCACGCCAAGAGCCGCCAAGCGCCGAGCGAGGTCGAGGACGCGACGCGTGAAGGCAGCTGCGCCGGTGGTAGAGTTCATGGTGAGGCTCTGGAACTCCTTGATGAGGGAGTAGAGGGTGGCGACGTCTTGCCGATCATAGAGATCGGTGAGGAGGCGCCAGAGGTGGGAGGAGGAGGTGGAAGCAAGCTCGCGCTTGAGGGTGGGAGGAATGGTGGCGAGGAGGACGGTGAGCGCGCGCCGGTCAGCGACACGCCAGGCACCTACCGTGCCTGACGTACTCCGCGAGCTCCGCCTGATACGTGTTGTAGGCGCCAGTGGCGGCGTTATGCTCGGCGCGGGAAGCCTCGAAGAGCAGCTGCTCGCGGACGTGGTCGGTGAGGCCGGCACGGTAGGTGCGGATGGCGGTCTCGGAGCTCTGAGGGTCGTTGACGTCAGGGGCGAAGGTTGGAGGATCGCCGGGGCTAAAGGGAGCATCGCCAGGAGGAGGACGTGCAGGGCCCGCGGGAGCATCCGGCTGGGCAGGCTGAAGACCGCGCTCCTCGAGATGGACAACGGCTTTCAGGTTGTAGCCGTTCACCGGCACCGAGGAGAGAAGCACCGTGGCGGTTTGGGCATAGGAATGCCAATTGACCGCGGTGTTGTCGGGCAGCAGCTCAAGAGCGTCGACGGAGGTAAGGTACACCGAGGAATCGGACGCCATTGAGAGGAGGAGGGGAAGGAAGGGGGGGGAGGAGGAAAAGGAAAAGGAGGAGGAAAAGGAAAGGAGGAGGAAAAGGAAAGGAGGAGGAAAAGGAAAGGAGGAGGAAAAGGAAAGGAGGAGGAGAAGGGGGAGGGAGGAGAAGGATAGGTGCGCGGAGCGCAGCTCTTAAGTCGCCGAAGGAGGATGCGGCGACCGGCTGCACGCCGAAATGGCGCGACGAACAGGAGCACGCGACGGCAGAATCGACGACGAGCGGGCGCACGCGGCGGAGAAATCGACCGGCGGCCGTGCGCTTGCGGCGGCACAAAGGCGATGGGCGCGGAGAGTACGGGCGCGACGGGACGATTTGTCGACGGCCGTGCGCGGGAGCCGTGCCGGACGGGCGCGCGGAAAGCGCGACGGAGAGGGGCGCGACGACGGGCCGCGCGACGGAGGAGCGCACCAACGGGCGCAGTAGGAGGATGCGACGGGCTGAAGCGCATCGTAAGGAGCGACGGGAGGTGCACGACGGAAGGGTGAGCGGGCGCGGCAAAAGGCGCGCGACGGGAGGAAGAGCGGGCGCGATGGAATAGCGCGGCGGGAGAGAGGGCGCACGGGGGGCGCGGGCAGTAGCCTAAGGAAGGGCTAGGCTTCGAAGACGAGGAGGGACGGCATAGAGCTGTGCTAGTTAGGATCGACTAGAGGTGGCGTGAGCCATTGTGGCTCTGAATACCATGAAGGAACTAGCTTGGAAGAGAAAAGATTGAATTGAGTAAGGAGCCAAGAGGCTCTTTTGTACAAAACAAGGAGCAAGGAAGAGTTGGAAAGGAAGCTCTCCTATTGGCCATAAAGTGGACCAATGGGAGAGGTTGCTTGTAGGGCAAGCAACCACAAAGTGTTGTGCTCTCTGATTGGCCACAATGTGGACCAATGAGAGAGATTGCTTGGAAGGCAAGCAACCACAAAGTGTGGTGCTTGGTGATTGGTTGGTTCCTAGGCCCAAGGACCATTTGGTTGAAATAGTGCCAACCAAATGTCTAGGACCAAATCCAATCTTGACCAACCCAAATGTGGGGTTGGTCAACCCAACCAACAACCTCCCAATAATTATAATGACTACACCTCCTAATTTAGGCATGCATGTTGTATAGATATATATTTTACAACAGCTACCTATCCAAATTGCTACTGTAGTTTACTTTGACTGAAATTTAGCCCTGGCGATGCGATATCTTATCGCATCGCGCAATATATCGCACGCTACAGTGCGATATTTGAAAATATCGCACCCAAAACGCGATATGCGATTTCGGTTTTTTCAAAAAAATATCGCAGCGATGCGATATCGCATCGCCGCAATATAATGCGCGATAAGTCGAAATGCGATGCGATGCGATGCGATATCGCATTTTGACCAGATCCGCGCATTCCGTCCATCGAAACGCGAGACAAGCGCATTTTGGCGGGGAGATGCCGCGCATTTTAGTGGGCCAAATGTCATATCTGTGCATTTCGTCCACCAAAACGCGGGATCCAACACATTTTGGCAGGAAAAATGCCAGATCCGCGCATATCAGCTGGCGAAATGCCATATCGGCGCATTTCGCCAGTATTTTTAACTATTTTTTTGAAAGATTCGGCCGATTTTTTTTACCAACAAAAATTAGATATCTACAACCAGTTTATACCGAATAAGACGGCCGAAAAATACAGTACCGTAGCAAACGGCCTAAAGATGAAAAAAACGCCGTTTTTTAAAACCCTGCTACTACTGGGCTCCTAAAAACGGGCTAGGGTTTCTGAAACCGTGACTCTCAAATGAGTCGCGTTTTCAGGTTGGCTTCCAAGTAAAATGCAAAATGCGATTGCAATTTAAATTGCATCGCAAAGGGGGGCGATTGAATGAAATGCAATGCGATTTAAAATCTCATCGCGCGATTTAATTTCTGGAAAAAAAAAAATCGCACATTGCGTTCTGTGCGCGCTGAATATTAAAACCGCATGCGGTATTTAATTAGATCGCGCGATTCAATTTCAAATCGCATCGCGTTTAGACATGGGCAGATTAAATCGCATCGCATCGCATTGCGTTTAATCGCATTTTTGCGACGGCGATTAAATAAATAAAATAAAAAATCGCGCGATGCGATGATTTAATTATCGCGCGATTTAATTTAAATTGCGCTTTAATCGAGCTGAAAATCGCGATTGAATTGCAATTTGCGATTTTTTTTAAATCGCACGCGATCTGTTTGTGGCCGAAATTCCATTGGTGTTGTTTTTTTCCGGAATTCTGAGGTGTTTTATAATTGAGGTAAAATGCGATGCGATTGTAAATCGCATCGCGCGATTTAAATAAACATCGCATTCGGTTTAAAGCGAGGATCTCAAGAAGCGCGAAACCAAGTCCAAAAGGTTTGGTTTCGGGTTGGCGAAATGAGCGAAGAAGTAACTGTGGCCCTCCAACACCCCTCACAATACCTCGCAAATTTCGCGACCCCCCGAAACCAAAACCTTTGGGTTTGGTTTTTTCCTTCTTGAGATCCTCGCTTTGAATAACCATCGCGCAGAAAATGCGATGTGTGATTTTTTTTTTTCTTTCAACAAATTAAATCGCGTGATGCGATATTAAATCGCATCGTTTTTTTTTTTTTTTTTTTTTTTTAACAGTTAAAGTCATCACCATCACCCCATTCGACATGTCCTTGCCTGTTTGCACCGAAGAGCGGACAATGCCATGCAGCTGGAAGGGCTGCACAGTGGTGGATGCCACGAACTCCTCTGGTTTCACATTTAAATTAGCCAGGAACACCCGAATGGTCCCAGGATCCCCAGGCTCATAATCCACCCATGCTGTGTATGCACTGCCGTCGTTCAGTGTGAATGGTGACACCTCAGCAACCAAGGACTGATCCATGCCATTGACGTTCAGCCCCACGTGTTGTGAGTTTATATCACCGTGATTATCATTCCAACGTGTGTCAAATTCAATGGCGACACTCCGGGTCTCCACCCCACCATACCCTACACCATCAGGGTTCCCCACCTTGGCCTTTGCCGAGATCACAAATGCAAAGCCATTTGACCCAAAGGTACCAGACTGCGGAATAAGGGAGAAGGTGAAGCTGACACTGAAAGCCAACTCCACACCACATCCAAGGCTCGGACCAGCTGGGTTAGCAAACAGGATCACCGGGTTTGCGATGAATTTTCCCTGTGACTCCTTTTGCGTCCCCTTGGTGAGCACAGTGAATGGGGGGACAATAGGCTTGCTTCGGTTCCAGCCTGAAAAATGTGATGGATGGCAAGGCAACAGAGCAGGAGGAATACAACTTAAATTACTCGGTCAGCTCGTTAAGCAGGCAATTTAAAAATGAAGTGAACACATGTGTGTAAACAGGTAAAGATTGAAAAGAAATGTGACGCAAATGTTGGAAAGAAAATTATGGAGCAAGCAAAGTATGCATGATTTATTAGATCACGGAAAGGAATATGTGATGAGTATGCAGGTGCCACCCGTGCGCATGTAGTTACTCTGAAATGTGGTTAAGATGGGAAAACATGACAGGGCTGAAACAGTACAACCATTTGTGGAGCCGAGCTGGTGTGCCTTATGGCAAAAAATTGGAGGAAATAAAGTAGAGAAAAATGCACTAAATAGCATACAAAGCGTGTGAGAAAAAATGCGTGTTCTCACAGGGCAAATAACCGCTCCATAAATGCTAAATAGTCCATTACCTTCCTCAGCACAGTCGATTCCTACAAACTCCACGAATCCCGGTTTGCACAAGCATGTTGGCACCAAGCTGGGCCCGTCTGGATAGCAGATGCCACGACCACCACAAGCAGCAGTGGTGTGGGCGATGCCACAAAAAGCTTTGCACTCTGCTGCCGGCCGTTGTACCTTCGAGTGACAACCTTTCTTCAATTTAAAGCAATTGGCAGCAAGATTGTGTCGACGGCAGTTTGGTTTACGCAGAACACCAGACAAGTAGTTGTTAGAAAGGTCCACATTGAATGCTGAGAGTTTCACAAGGGGGCCCATGAGGTAGTTTTGCGAGAGATCACTGCAATGGAAGGGAGAAGGAAATGGGTGTGCAGGGTGGGGTGGCATAGCCAACAACATAGACAGATTCACAGAGTTGATGTCAAAGGGGTATTAGGAATATCTGGATAAAGGTGAATGTTGTTCCGTAACTGACCAAAGTAGAGACTGAGCAGGTGGCGGAGGAGGAAAAGGAGGAGGAAGAGGAGGTCGGAGGAGGAGGATTAGGAGGAGGCGGAGGAGGAGGAGGATGAGGAGGAGGAGGAGGAGGAGGAGGAGGAGGAGGAGGAGGAGGAGGAGGAGGAGGAGGAGGAGGAGGAGGAGGAGGAGGAGGAGGTGGAAGAGGAGGAGGAGGAGGAGGAGGAGGAGGAGGAGGAGGAGGAGGAGGAGGAGGAGGAGGAGGAGGAGGAGGAGGAGGAGGAGGAGGAGGAGGAGGCAGAGGAGGTGGGGCCAATTAAAGCTTATTGCTTATTTTAAACTGCCTTCATCTCTGGACCTACCTACACTGGTTGTATGAACACAAAATGGAGCCGCACGATGCTGTTATGTAATGCCTGCTAAAGCTCTTTGCTTCAAGTGCAGGAGTGAGAGAGTGTGGAAGACAGAGTGAATGAATGTGTGGAAGAGTGGAAAAAAACGTGAGGAAATTGAAGAATGAGCTAGAATGAAACTGTAAATGTGTGAACACTCAAGAGAATCAAGAGCATGAGTGTTTCTTGCAGATGAAGCTGTGTCGTACCACTTGGCTATCATCCTCAACTAGGCTTGAGCAACGGGTCGGGTCGGGTCGGGTAACCCGACCCGAACCCGACTTTTTGACGGGTCGGGTCAGGTTTCCCGTCGGATGAACCCGACCCGTCGGGTTTGATTTTAACCCGTCGGGTCGGGTCAACCCGAACCCGACATGGACGGGTTCGGGTGAACCCGACATGTCGGGTTGACCCGACCCGACTTCGGGTATCCATCGTCGGGTTGACCCGACCCAACCCGACCCGACTTCGGGTATCCATCGTCGGGTTGACCCGACCCAACCCGACCCGAAGTTGGGCCGCGCCTCGACCCGACGCAATCTGCGCGACCTGAGTTGCGCAGATCTGGAAAGTCTGACAGTTTGGTCGAATTTTCGATCAGATGGGCCATTTTCCAGATCCTACTTAGGCTGTTTCCCATTTTTACCCTGCATCCAGCTCATTCCTACCACTAATCTACTCCCCACCATGCTTATCGGTATAGCTTAGGAACTAAACAGACCCAGATCGATTTCTATTGGATTGACTCAACCAACAAGCTCGTCGACACCACCACCAACCCAACCAGCTTTTCGCCAACACCCCCAAACCAACAAATTTTCGCCAACACGCCCAACCCAACCAACTTTTCGCCAACACGCCCAACCAAACCAATTTTTCGCCAACACTTCCAAACCAACCAATTTTCGCCAACACCCCCAACCCAAACAATTTTCGCCAACACGCCCAACCCACCCGAATTTTCGCCAACACCCGCAACCAAACCAAAAGCTCGCCAACACCCCCAAGCCAACCAATCTTTCGCCACACCCCCAAACCAACCAAAAAGTCGCCAACACCCATTCACTCTGTCACTGGTTTTCGTCAACATCCTCCAACCTAACCAATACTTCGCCAACACCCAAAACCACATGTCGAGGTTGCGGGGGGATGAGGTGAGTGGGCACGAGGAGGACTCACTGGATCTTGAAATCACGAAATCCAGCTGTTCCCCCCTGGGAAAAAAATAGCTTCTAGTTAGGTCGGGTCAAGTCGGGTCGGGTCGGGTCGCATCAACCCGACCCGACCGCGGGTAGGAGATGACCCGACCAGCTATGGTCGGGTCGGGTCGGCAAAATCCTAAGATCGACCCGACCTGACCCGACCCGACCCGACCCGAACCCGACCTCGGGTTAGGCAGAGTCGGGTCGGGTCGGGTCGGGTCGGGTTAATGCTCAAGCCTATCCTCAACTGGGTGAGTCTATTGGGCAAGCTTCCAGACAGCTGGTTGTAGGCGAGAGACCTGATATTCGTGAAGGGAAGGGATGGAAAGGGGTCGGCGGGATGAAGAGAATCGTGCGAGCTGGGTTTGAATTGAAGAACAGGGGTAATTGTGGAGGTAGGCTGTGGAATTATGTAGCGAGCTGGGTAAATATGTCGTGGAGTGCAGCCGGTGTGCTTGGGAGCATGACTTGCTGGGTGTTGTGCAGCTCGAGAGAAAGATCAAGCAATCGTTACACTTGGAAAAGTGTGTCGACTCACAGGTAGGTCAAAGCATGTAGATTGCCGATTGTATTAGGAATCGTTCCGCTAAGACGATTACCACGGAGGTTCCTGCAGAGCAGACGCATGAGGACACGTGGAGTTCAGTCTTAGAACGTTTTTCCACGAAAGAGAAAAGCACGTGTGCGGCATTAAAAGGGAAAACTGCAGGTTTTGAAGTGTTACAAATGTGACAACAAGTTACTTGGCGGCCCCATGTGAGAGCTGCATGGGCACCACAGAAGGGTGCAGGCATGGTGACGTACGGTATGGGTGTCGGGATATGCCTCTGTGGACGACTGCAAGTCGTTCAGTGCAAGAGAGTGCACCACCAAAAAGCGGCTACAACTCACAGCTCGTTTAGCTTGGTACAATTGCCTACTGACCAAGAAATTGGTCCTGTGAACTCATTCATGCTTAGATCCCTGCACAGGTACTTGCAGCAAGCGGAGGGCCACACACCCAATTGATACCATGTGCAGTGCAGCAGATGGAGGGTAAAGAGGAACACATGCAATGCAAGTACAATTTAGGAGCAGCATACGTGAAGGGAAAATGTAGACGAAGGATGGGATGGCCAAGTGGTGAGGAGGGTGGGGGTTAGCTAGGGTTGGGCAAAAGCGGGTAATTACCCACCCGTACCCGACTTCGGGTCGGGTAGTAGTCGAGTAGCTGGCCCAGAACCACTACCCGACCTAGGCTTGATCAAAATACCCGACCGGGTCGGGTACCCGTTACCCGGATCCACTTTTAGGGCGGGTCGGGTAGCGGGATTCCTGTTAATTACCCGGCGGGTCGAGTCCCGGTTACCCGGGCGGGTATTTAGTACCCGATACCCGAAATGCTACCCGACGACGCGGGTAACGGGTACCCGCCGGGTCGAGTATTGAATACCCGAGTTCGGGTATAAACCTGAAGTCGGGTCGGGTATATCCGACCCGAAATCGGGTCGCGCTGCTACCCGTCGGCAGTAGTTCGATCAAAATTGGGGAGGGTTGGAAATTTCGACCATTTGGTCGAACTTTCTTCCCCAACTCCCCAGATCTGGTTTCGTCTAGTCCCTATCCTACTCGCGCCACCTAACAGCACCACCCGCTTTAGTCACAAAATTTCCCGTACCTAAATGTGTTTTTTTCCATCATTAGGGCGGATTTAAGGTACGGAGGGGTTGTTTGCCCTAGGGTTCTAGGGTTTCGGAGATCTAGGGCTCCAAGAGCTAATCGCCCCCTCGGATTCCCCATTCTAGCGCATAATTTAGGGTTGGGAGGTGTCCCGTCATGCAGTTCTATGACCGTGACGGGCGTCCCGTCCCTTTCGGGGGCGGTAGGGTTGAGGGTGGCAGGCTCCAGAGCGGTGCCATGCCTGGAGCATCTCTGGCTGGCCTCCCTCTCCCTAGCGGCCGCCAGACTTTTGCAGCGATGCAGGAGGGGGGGGGTTGGGGCAAGCCATGGGGGGGGGAACGGTGGGGGGTGGTGGAGGGGGGGGAGGAGGCGAGGGTGACCAGGAGTGGCATCCCAATGCGGAGGAAGAGAATGAGGTGTCGGGAGATGGGCGCGCCAAGGGGAGGGGGAGGGGGAGGGCGAGGGGAGGGGCAGGGGAAGGGGGAGGGGGAGGGGAAGAGGCCACGGCCGTGGTGGACGTGGTCGGGGGAGGGCAAGGACGATTGGTGGCGGCGGTGGCACTAGTGGTGCGGGGGAGGTGGAGGGCGGTGGGGATGCAGCGCACTTTAGGGATGCTGAGGGCGAGGGGGAGGGGGGTCATGCGGAGTGTGGTACGCCTGCACCGGGGCGGCCTGTCATCCCAAGTGGGGAGGGAGGGGGCACGGGTGGACAGCATAAGCGGTCGCGAGCGGGCAACAGCTCTCAGGTGACAGTCGGGTACTGGGGTACTGCTGTCCCTGGGCTGATGCAGGGGATGTTCTTTCAGCCTGAGGGGGGGGACGGGGCGTGATGCTGCAAGGTATGCGAGGTGCCGATCGGTTGGGGTGAGAGCAGCACTGGTTCGGCGTGGAAGCATATGCGCACGTTCCACATGCCTCACCTCCAGATCTGGTATCGCCTCTTCACTGATGGCAACACGAAGCCGGGGTTGGTGTTTCCGGTGAAGGGGTACCCGGGGGTGCCAGGCGGACCAGACCCGTGGGAGCACGCTGACGCCTACCCCGACATCCCTGGTGCGGGCAAGGGCGGTTCGGGTGGGGGTGTCGAGGCGGGCCAGCGGCAGATCCCTCAGCTCTTCGGCCGTCGCGTCACACAGGAGCGTCTGCGCCACGCTCTTGTCGAGCTGTTCGCAGACGCGGACCTTCCTTTCCACCCGGTCGACCGCCCTCGGTAAGAACTGATAGAGAGAAGCTTCTAATGCCCCCCCCCCCCCCCCCCCCCCCCCCCCCCCCCATCCCCTTCCCTCCATTCCCCAGTTTCGCCGCTACACCCGCCTCCTCAATCGACCCCCCCCCCATGCCATGCCATGCCATGCCATGCCGGACAACAATCCTCTATCGCTTCCATGGACTTCCCCCCTTCAGGTGCCTGGCGCACATCCTGAACCTCGCGGTCCAGAAGATGCTAGGTGTCCCCGCCGTCCTCGAGCCGCTCAAGCGTATGCGGGAGATTGCGTCGTTCATTGGGTGGAGCACGACGCGCTCGGACGCGTTCGAGGACGAGCAGCTGCGGCTAGCGAGTCAGGGCGGGCATGTTCTCCACCTCATCAGCGACACCCCCATGCGATGGGGGTCGTCCTATGAGATGGTGGACAGCTTCTTGAAGCTCAAGGATCCCATCCTATTGTACTTCTCGGGACTCAAGGTATGGTTCCCGAGTTCCTGGTTTGCCACCATCCCGGCTCGCATTTTTTTCCTCACCGAAATGCTGACTGTCTCCCAAAGCCGCCCATGCGTCTTACACTCCCCACATCTGAGATTTCCCCTCCGCTACTTCTTGTTCCCCAATCCCCCATCCCACAATCGGCGCGCGACAAGCGGACGTGCGATCAGGCTGCGCGTGTCCGCCTCACGGACGCACACTAGGACGCTCTGAGGGTTATGGTGGAATTCCTCAAGCCCTTCCATGACATCACTACTGCGGCAGAGGGGTCGTTGTACCCCACTGCCGCAGTACAACCTGCTCATGGATGAGCTTGAGCATCTCTACCACGACCCTCGGACCGGGGAGCTCTGCAAGCTGATGGCGGAGGCGGCTCTGAAGGTGGTGAAGAAGTACGTGTACGGCATCAGCGAGGAGCTGGCAGTGGCCACATTCTTGGACCCCAGGTTCAAGCAGCTCTACTTCCAGCTCGAGCGGTGGGAGGGGGCCCACCCTGAGCTAGCGGGAGAGGCCGCTTGGGGGCGTAGGGCGGTGCACAACGTCACTGAGGAGCAGGTGGTGACATGGGTTAGGGCGCGCTTGCAGTCTTATCTACACAATCAGAGCAGGCGTGCGGTGGACGGGGGTCAGGAGGGGACGAGCACAAGGGGAGCGTGGGCCGGGGGGAGGGGAGTGGCCAGGGCCTGAGGTGGGGGGCGCCTGTTTGACATGCTCGGCTCGGCGATGGCAGAGGTGGAGGCGAGAGCGGGAGTGGCCGCGCCGGACAAGGTTCATAGGTACCTGCAGGAGGCGCGTTTGGAAATGGACGAGTGTCCGCTTCAATGGTGGCGCACGCGCTCGTCGTACCCGGGGTTGCATGCGATGGCACGAGACTACCTTGCCATCCCTGCAACCTCAGCACCAAGCGAACGGGCGTTCAGCCAGGGGCGGAACGTGGTCACTTGGCAGCGTCACCACCTAAGCATTGCTCACGTGCGTGCAACCATGACTCTCAAGTCATGGATGGCACAGCGCGCCGACGGCAGCCTCCCGCTGGCGACGCTGGATCGGGCCATGGGGGGGCTGTGCCTTGAGGGTGACGGCGAGGGGTTGTGAGGAGTGGGTACAGGTTAGCCCCATTGGACAGCTCTTCCTATTATATACATTCCAGTGCTTGTGCCATGCTCGGACCCAGCATTCAGTTGTAGGGCCATGCAGACATGGTTTCATGCTTGTTAAATGATTGTGACCAGCCGTAGAATGAACTGCGTGCCCTAAACGTATAGTAGGCATGAGCAAAACCGGGTATTTACCCGACCCGACCCGGTTTTGCTATACCTGACTTCGGGTCAGGTATTTTCAGGTCAGGTACGGGTCGGGTAACATGCCCAGGACCAATACCCGGACCCGTGATTTGGCGGCGGGTAATTTTATACCCGCCTGGCGGGTCCGGGTATACCCGACCCGATTCCCTTGATAAGCGGGTAGTATTACCCTCGTTTTCCTACCGTGCTGGGCTAAACCTACGACCTGAAAACGTGAGTCGCTGGAGGCAGTAAGAGGTGCGCCATATCTTTTACAGTTCAAGTGAGTAGGGCATGAGTGGCGAGGTGGTTGGGTTTTCTAGTTGGGATGGGGTTGTGTGCGATTGTTGGGGGTTTGATATTTTGACCCCCAGAGTCAATTGGTTGGAACTCCAACCAATGTGGTGCTGTGCGGTTGGCTGGATTCAGGTTGGGTTGTAAAATCGATGGGGAAAATTCGATTGGTTCCGTAACGTAACGTAAGAAAATTCTCTACCAGCGCGACCAATGTTGCGCTGGTTCCGTCGGGTAGACATGCTACCCGATTTCGGGTCGGGTACCCGTTACCCGACGTGTCGGGTAAAGTTTTGGGTAACGGGTATCGAATACCTGCCCGGGTAACCCGGACCCGACCCGCCGGGTAATTTTCAGGATTCCCGATACCCGACCCGCCCTAAAAGCGGATCCGGGTACCGGGTACCCGACCCGGGTGGGTAGTATGCTCAAGCCTAACGTATAGTAGGTATTTGTTGATGCCTTGTAGCGCAATCCAAAACAAGCTAGGCAAGTACAAGAGTATCGTGGCGGCAAAAAGCCTACATATATCCGGGTTAGAATTTTATGCATGACCACATTGCTGTCACAACACTGGGAGACAGATAGACGAACAAGAAAAATGCCCGGACCCGCTTTTAAGCGAAAACGGGTCGGGTATACCTGGACCCGCCTGTTGGGTATTAAAATACCCGGCTATGAAAACCGGGTCCGGGTATTGGTCCGGGATGTTATACCCGACCCAGACCCGACCCGAAATTACCTGACCCGAGGTCGGGTATAGCAAAACCGGGTCGGGTTGGGTATTTAACTGGTTTTGCTCAAGCCTAACCCGACGCAAGGTATAGAGGGCGGGAAATAGGGTACCTGGTCCGCGGTTCGGGTACCGTTACCCGAATTTGCATAAAATCGGGCATTCATGCCCGCCCTCTCCCTCCCTATGGTGCCATGAGCGCAAAACCTAGGTCGTAGTCCCTAGGTAGAGCTAAGCAACACGAGGCTGACTTGTGAGTTGCGGGAGGGAGCGTGAGAAGCGCCACATCTGATGAGTGCAGGCTGTGTGGAGAGGTGGTTGGGTTTTCTAGATGGGATGTGGTGGTGTGCGGTTGAAGGGAATTAGCGGGTTGGGTCGAAATTTCGCCAGAAATCTAAACCGGCCAGTTTCCACCATTTCAATTCAACCGCATTAAATTCATCTGCATCTACAGAATCCAACCCCCGCCCCTCATACATGCTCTACATGAGAGAGGGGCCACGCTATCCCGACCCGACCGACAAAACCCGACCCGTCGGGTCGGCTTATTACCCGTCCCTGCCCTTATGCCACCCGACCCGACCCGACCCGAAATCGGGTCAGGTAGTACCCGACCTATTAAACCCGGGTCGGGTTGACATTTCCCGAGCTCCGACCCGACTTGACCCGACCCGACTTGACCCGAACCCGGCATCGGGTAGGGCAAAGTCGGGTCGGGTCGGGTCAGGTTCATGCTCAAGCCTACCGCGTGCATCTAGGAAGGATGGAGGGGTAGAGTGGGACGCAGGAGGGGTTACGAAATTTGTGTGAAAGGATGGAGGGGTAGAGTAGGTCGCAGCTAGGAGTTACGAATTTTGCGTGGAATTCCGACCAAATGGTAGAAAATTCTCAACCAGCGCGAAATTGATCGCGCTGGTTTTTTCCGTCGGGTAGTTGCGCGACCCGATTTCAGGTCGGGTCTTCCCGACCCGTCGGGTACCAATTACCCGACTGGTCGGTTATCAATTCGGGTACCGGCTAAGCATTACCCAAGCGGGTTATCCGACCCGACTCGTCCGGGTAGTACGTCGAATTCGTACTACCCGACCCGGCCAGAAGTCGGGTACGGGTACGGGTACCCGACCCGCACGGGTAATTTGCCCAAGCCTAGGGTTAGCTTCTTACAGAGTTTGCAGTTTTAGTGTGAATATGCTTTCTGGTATGTCGCCTTCCAGCTCGTTCTGTGACAGACGTCTGCCACGTAGTGTCAAGAAAGGAGCCCTCAGGGACTAGTCTAAATCTGGAGATGTGCAAAAAGGCAATCAGCAAAGCTTGGAGAAGGAAAAATGCTTGTGCATAACAGAGAGATGTATGTTGTTAAAAACAAAAAAAAACAAAGAAAAAAAAATGAAAGACCGTGCAAGGGGAAAATAAACGGAGGGTTTAGCGTGAGCAAGTGGGCAGGTGAGATTTCAGTTGGTCCCAAAAAGGTTGGGAGGTGAGTGATGTTTCATGATATCACAACGAAACCCAGACACCTCCATCAACATTAATTTATGGAGCCCATCTTGACAGGAAGGAGTGATAAGAGGAGGTGAATGGGCATGTGATATAGGTGAGCATCAAAGTAAACCAGAAATCAGATCACGAGAAGCGGACGGCAAGTATGAGGCTAGGATGGTTCAGGAGAAACATAGGCAAGGCAGCACTGACAGTAGGTTAAGTTTCCTCAATGTGCTGATGGATGGAGGGATTGGCCCTGTCAAGCGATTACTGCCAAGTCGCCTGGAGCATGGGGATAAAGATTTGAAAGGAAGTCGGGGAAAGGACAGAGGAAGACTGAGGAGTTGGAAAAACCAAAATGATGGGAAGAGATGGAAAGTGAGAGCGGCAGGGTACGTTGGAGTGGCTATGGCGAGCTGTGTAGAACCATTCCTTTCTCTGCAGATGCAGGTGGGAAGAGGACCAGCAAAAAGAGGGGGTTCACATCACAAGGCAACAAGAGAGCCGTCATGCAGTCAAGAGCAGAGTGGCAAGGACAGGCATCTTGGCACGCAACGCAACCCAACAAACTTGTTACTTGGGCATATATTGCGACTAGGTTGGTGAGGGAGCTGATGGAGTCAGGGATGGTTCCAGAGAGCTGGTTGCTCTCCATAAACCTGGCAGGCGCCCAGGCAATGATCGAGTGGCACAAACGTTACAGATGAGAGCAGGAAATAAGAGTTTCATCATAGATATGGACAAGAGAGATGCTGGACAATCTGTGATGCCACACCACCAACAGCTGTCATCACGAGTGTGCCTCCACCACTCCACTGGATGGATGTCCCTGGCTGGCTGGCTGGCATATAGTGCCCATGCGTCCACGTCCATACGCCGTGCATTAGACATGGGTATATCGCATCGCATCGCATTTTATCGCATTTTGCGATTGCGATTTTTATTTTTATAAATAAAAAATCGCAGCGATGCGATGCGATAATATCGCGCGATTTTTGCGATATCGCGCATTTATCGCGGTTTTTTCAGCGTGATAAAACGCGATATGCGATATTAAAATATCGCGCGCCATACATCTGCATATCGCGTCGCGGAATTGCGCCAGAAAGGGGGGGGAACATGGGCGCGGGCCCTGAACTTAGCAAAATTTAGGGTTCTCTGATTGTAATGGCGTGCAGAAATTGCGCGCGGCTGTTTGGGGTTGGCGTAATTGACGGGGAAGTGTTTGTGAGGAGCTTGGAGAGGAAGGGTTGGAATTAGGGTTGAGCAAACTACCCGCCCGGGTCGGGTACCCGGTACCCGGACCCGTTTTTAGGGCGGGTCGGGTATCGGAAATCCTGAAAATTACCCGGCGGGTCGGGTCCGGGTTACCCGGGCCGGGGAATCAATACCCGCTACCCGAAATGCTATTTGGGCATGCAAACCAACCAACATGGGCATACATCCATTCCAGGTTTGTGAGGGAGCTGATGGAATCAGGGATGGTTCCAGAGAGCTGGTTGCCAAGTATGCTCCTGGAGGGTCCCCCCGGGCAATGACGCAGTGCCACAAATAATGTGCAGGGAGGCATAGCCGCATAGGTCACGGCTCTACTTGACACACCATGCAGTGCATCATGTGGCACGAGGAACTGAGTCATCGAGTTGGGAAAATGATGGGGGAGAGGAAAAAAGAGTGCTGTTCGCTAAGTTACACAACGACATTTCACTAGCATTACAGGTGTCGTTTCCTAAGTTGATGTCACGCATCGACACAACACAATGGCACCTAACTGGTGTCCCATCGAAAGATAGGGGAGCGGCAAAAAGAATGAGGAACAACAGCAGACGACAAAACGAGACGAGTCGAAGCATAGGATAGGAAAGGGCTCCTTTGGCCTAATTTGCTAGTAGCGTCCAATGGCAGGTATGCGGGCAATGTTTTAGTGACAATAGAACGGAGAGTAAGAGCTCCATACGGGTTGCCATTGGTGACAGGGAAATTCGTCCTCGTTGGTCACGACTCACAATAAGGCCCTCACCAGGATCCATCTTCTATTTTGTCCGAAATGAACCCTGCCCCTGAACCTGAATCATTTGCTTCGTCAGCAATTTCGTACAGTCGCTATTCCACAAGCTCTACCCCCGCCACAACTGCAATCGGCAAGAATCCCATCTGGAAATGAGCCATCAGCTATAGACAGGAGTGCAGTGCAGCAACACGCTCCCATATCCATAGGCAAGCTCATGGTAGGAAACCATTGTTGGACTCAGTTTGCTGTATGCGCATGTCCACCGACGTACGAATCTCTTACATGTGATGTGATCAGCTACCTCGGCTACATATACAATATATATATATATATATGTCTATTATTATAACAAAAACCCTTTCAACCATCAGCACAAAATACGGCCTCATCGGGAAGGATGGTGGCAACTGGAATTTAGACGAGGGGTTAAAAGAAATGACAATGGTGATCATGTTCATGTCTGGAATCAAAAGGAGGAGAAAGGAGCACACACAAAGAGGGAGAGGCATTACAGCACCAGCAGGTTTCTAAGATTGCCAATTGCGTCGGGGATTGTGCCAGTGAAGTAATTTCTACTCAGATCCCTGTGAAGATAAACAAGAGTCAGATATGTGATGCATGCACAGAGTTTCAGTTTGGCAACGTGTGGCAGAAGTGAACAACTGCATCAATAAGTGAAAATCCAAGAAAAATAGAGAAGCACGAGACGCAAATAGGCATGAGCAAAACCGGGTATTTACCCAACCCGACCCGGTTTTGCTATACCCGACTTCGGGTCGGGTATTTTCGGGTCGGGTACGGGTCGGGTAACATGCCCAGGACCAATACCCGGACCCGGGATTTGGGGGCGGGTAATTTAATACCCGCCTGGCGGGTCCGGGTATACCCGACCCGGTTTCCTTGAAAAGCGGGTAGTATTACCTGCGTTTTTCTACCCTGTTGGACTACTAAGCCTACGACCTAGATAGCGCTTCAAAAAACGTGAGTCCCGGGAGGGAGTATGAGGTGTGCCAAATCTTTAACAGTTCTGGTGTAGTGAGTGGGTCGTGAGTGGGGCCTGAGTGGGGAGTTGGTTGGGTTTTCTAGTTGGGATGGGGTTATGTGCGGTTTCTGGGGGTTTGATTCTTTGACCCCCAGAGTCAATTGGTTGGAACTCCAACCAATGTGGTGCTGTGCGGTTGGCTGGATTCAGGTTGGGTTGCAAATTCGATTGAAGAAATTCGATTGGTTTGACTTCCAACCAATTCCCCCCAATTGGTTTGAATGCATCTGTATCTACGAAACCCAACCCCTGCCAATCTACAATGCTCTAAGTGACCTAGCAGCTCACGTAACCTAGAAACTTGATGAAATTTCTCTACCAGCGTGACTAATGTCTCGCTGGTTCCGTCGGGCAGACCGCTACCCGATTTCGGGTCGGGTACCCGCTACCCGACGCGTCGGGTAGCATTTCGGGTACCGGGTATTAAATACCCGCCCGGGTAACCCGGACCCGACCCGCCGGGTAATATTCGGAATTTCCGATACCCGACCCGCCCTAAAAGCGGATCCGGGTACCGGGTACCCAACCCGGGCGGGTAGCATAGGCTTGAGCATGAACCCGACCCGACCCGACCCGACCCGACTTTGCCCTACCCGATGTCGGGGTCGGGTCGGGTCGGGTCGGGTCAAGTCGGGTCGGAGTTCAGGAAATGCCAACCCGACCCGGGTTTAATAGGTCGGGTACTACCTGACCCGATTTCGGGTCGGGTCGGGTCGGGTTGACATAGGGGCAGGGACGGGTTATAAGCTGACCCGACGGGTCGGGTTTTGTCGGTCGGGTCGGGTCGGGTCGGGTCGGGTACCCGAGGGTCAGGTCGACCCTCTGCAAATGTCGACCCGACCCGTCAAAAAGTCGGGTTCGGGTCGGGTTACCCGACCCGACCCGACCCGTTGCTCAAGCCTAGGGTAGCATGCTCAACCCTAGACGAAAATATGAACCGCGAGGAGGAAATGAAGCCATTGTGCCAGAGGTGAAAAGAACAAAGGAGCAGAGCAGGGGAGATGGGAAGAGTGAGAGAAGCTTGGCCAAAGAGAAGGCAAAAACGAACGTATTGAACAAAAAGAAGACAAGCGAACGACCATTCAATTCCTCCAATACCTCCAATACCTCAAAATGAGCCAGCATTAGCCAGTAGGCAAATTCATTATCCGCGCCTCGGGCCTCGCCGAGGCGGGCTTCGGGCAGGCGTCAAGACCAGACTGTGGTCTGTCAGTACATGGCAGGCCGGGCCACAGCCCCCCCTCAGGATGGGCTGGCCCGTGGGGCAAGGTGCAAAATACGGTAGTCGTATTATACAGGCTGTTACGCTGTATATTAAGGTCGTAATTTTCGGCCATGTTATGAACAAAAAACCGTTTTGTTTTTTATCTTTAAGTTTTTTTTTTTGCCGATCGACGCGCACAAGGTGCAAAAAAAGGGCGTTTTTTTTCCTTCTTTTTACCGTATAAAACGGGATCGTATAAAACGGCCATTTAATACGATTAAAGTGGTCAAAAGTGGTGTGTTCTGACTGGTGCAAAAAAACGGCCGTTTTTTTTTATACCGCAGTAAAAAACGGAGGTTCACTTTATATCGAGGAGGGTGAGGAGGGTGAGGAGGACTAGGGTGAGGAGGAGGGCGACTAGAGCGAGGAAGGGGAGGACTAGGGTGAGAAGGAGGAGGACAATTAGGAGGAGGAGCAGAGCCAGAGTAGAGTAGGAGAACTAGGAGGAGGACAACTAGGAGGGTGAAGGAAGGGCGAGAAGGACAATGAAAGGAGGTCTAGGAGGACGAGGATGGTGTTTTAGATGCACGTCGGCTGTCGCCGCCACCACGCCCTCTGTTTCCCAGCGGTTTTTTTAAGTTCAGGGTAAGAAAAAAAAAAAAAAACGGGAAAAAAAACTCTAACAAAAAAGGTAGAATAGGCTTGAGCAAAACCGGGTAATTACCCGACCCGACCCGGTTTTGCAATACCCGACCTCGGGTCGGGTAATTTCGGGTCGGGTCCGGGTCGGGTAATAAGCCCAGGACCCTTACCCGGACCCGGCCTTAGGGGGCGGGTAATACAATACCCGCCTGGCGGGTCCGGGTATACCCGACCCAATTACCCTGAAAAGCGGGTAATACTACCCGCCACCTACTTGTAGACATCCTAAAGTTGGACTAGGCTAGGTAGGGTTCCTGAAAACGCGACTCTCAAATGAGAGTCGCGTTTTCTGGGGGTCGAATTTTGACCACCCAACTCCCTCCCTTTCACCGCACTGAACTTCTCCCCGTCTACAAACTCCAATTTCCAACCAAACTCTCTCCCTTTCACCGCACTGAAATCCTCCCTGACTACAAACTCCAACATTTCCAACAAAACTCCCTCCCTTTCACCGCAATGAACTCCTACCCATCTACAAACTGCAACCTCTTCTCCAACTCCCACCCAACTCCCTCTCTTTCACCGCACTGAACTCCTCCCCGTCTACAAACTCCAATTTCCAACCAAACTCCCTCCCTTTCACCGCACTGAACTCCTCTCTGTCTACAAACTCCAACATTTCCAACAAAACTCCCTCCCTTTCACCGCACTGAACTCCTACCCATCTACAAACTCCAACCTCTTCTCCAACTCCCACCCAACTCCCTCCCTTTCACCGCACTTAACTCCTCCCCATCTACAAGCTCCAACTTCTCCTCACAAATGCTCCACTTGTCCCCCCTCACCTCCAAAACCGTTTTGCCACAAAACTTAAAACACAGCGCGACTTACGCCCATGTCTAGGTGGAATACCCGACCTCGGGTATATTTTACCCGACCGGGTCGGGTACCCGTTACCCGACACGTCGGGTAGCATTTCGGGTAGCGGGTATTGATACCCGGCCCAGGTAACCCGGACCCGACCCGCCGGGTAATTTTCAGGATTTCCGATACCCGACCCGCCCTAAAAGCGGGTCCGGGTACCGGGTACCCGACCCGGGTGGGTAGTTTGCTCAACCCTAAGGTAGAATTTGCATAAATGTGCCGTATAAGACGACCGTAAAAAACGGACTATTTAATACGGAAACCGTTTTTTTGCACCTTGGACGCGCGCGCATTTTGGCAGGAGAAACGCCAAGATCTGCACATTTTCCTCGTCGAAACGCGCGAGATCCGCGCATTTTGGTGGGCAAAATGCCAGATCCACGCATTTTGGCGGGCAAAATGACAGATCCGCGCATTTCGCTTGTCGAGACGCAAGATCCGCGCATTTTGACGGTCGAAATGCCAGATCCGCACTCCTCAACCGTACATTCCACCCGGTTCATCCAAATTTCGGCCGAAAAAACTGCCGTTTTTTTCCAGCACCCTCGAAATGCCTCTTCTGACCCTTTCTTATCATATTATACGGCCGAAAATTTTGGTACCGTATTATACGGTCAAATTTTGGAAAAGAAACTGCCGTTTCTTTGCATCTTGCCGTGGGGTGAAAATTATGACCCCAAAAAGTTGAGGGGCGCTGCCCATCGATGGGCTTTTCGGCCACCGGCTATGGGGTCGACGACGGACCGCACGGGCCGCGGGACGAGCCCAGCAATATGTGGGCTCCGGCCGGGCCCGCCCAAACCAAGCCCATCCAGTGAACATCCCTAGTAGCAAGGATAGAGTGAGTAAGCAATCGTAAGTTATGACTAGCTGCTGCCAGTTGTGGAAGCTGCCTTGCAGCTTGGGGCATGTGCGAAACTGTGCTAGATACCAATGCAGGTGAACTAGACGGACTCGACTGGAACAAGTCCGTACTGGAATGAGTCCAGTCTAGTGCCATGCACCTCAGTAGTAAATAGACATGAGCAAAACCGGGTAATTACCCGACCCGACCCGGTTTTGCCCTACCCGCGATCGGGTCTGGGTCGGGTAATTACCAGGCAATCTCTGGAGGTCTGTTACCCGACCCGGCATTTTAATACCGGGTAATTGGGTACCCATGTGGCGGGTCAGGTATACCCGACCCGCTTTTAATTGAAGTCGGGTATTATTACCCGGGTACCCCTAGTAAACCCTAAAATACAGCAGTAAATGCCACTCTAAGGTAGAACCTGATGAGAATGCGTCTCAAAGACTTGTGACTGCATTGTTAAGGTTTAGGGGAATGGTGCGATTATTTTGCACGTTTTCGCCTTGACATAATTGCCCTAATTCGGGAACCTGTGCTCTAACTTCAGGTGGGGGTGACGAAACCCCAGAATGGACGGCTAGGCAGCAAAAAACGCCAAGGAGTAGCCCTTTGTCTACTCTCTTACCCTAGATTTGCTTAAAACTAGGTGCGATTTGTAGTAGACCCGCTGCAGAATGCTTCTAGGTGCATGTTAGGGTAGCCTTGGGTAGAACGCAACTAAGGGAAAACATTGTGGGAAACTTCGACCTTATGGTCCAAATTTCCCAACCAGCGCGAAAACTGACGCACTGGTTTCCGTCGGGTAATTGCGCAACCCGACACTGGGTCGGGTACCCACGACGCGACCCGACTTCGGGTAACAAACCCGAAGTCGGGTAGGGTACCACCCGCAACCTGTTGGGTAATAAATTACTCGACATTTCGGGTAATTATTGGGTAACGGGTAGGCTTGAGCATGAACCCGACCCGACCCGACCCGACCCGACTTTGCCCTACCCGATGTCGGGGTCGGGTCGGGTCGGGTCGGGTCAAGTCGGGTCGGAGTTCAGGAAATGCCAACCCGACCCGGGTTTAGTAGGTCGGGTACTACCTGACCCGATTTCGGGTCGGGTTGGGTCGGGTTAACATAGGGGCAGGGACGGGTAATAAGCTGACCTGACGGGTCGGGTTTTGTCGGTCGGGTCGGGTCGGGTCGGGTCGGGTACCCGAGGTTCGGGTCGACCCTCCGCAAATGTCGACCCGACCCGTCAAAAAGTCGGGTTCGGGTCGGTTTACCCGACCCGACCCGACCCGTTGCTCAAGCCTAGTAACGGGTATGCATCACCCGGCCCGAGTACCCGACCCGACCCGGCCGGGTAATTCGTAAAAATCCTATTACCCGACCCGGCCAAAAATGTTAGGCCGGGTCGGGTACCTGCGAGTGATCCGACCAGGTAAAATGCTCGAGTCTACTAGAAAAAGAGATGTCGGTGGTGAGCGGACTGGAGAGGAGAGGAGAAAAGGAGGGTTAAAAAGATAGGAGATGACAAAATTTCCCACAACAGGAGAGAGAGTGGAGAGGAGCAGGGTGCAAAAGCACAGTTTCTTTCTCATTTTTTGGCTGTATATCGTATGGCACTGTATACAGCGGTTGTATAATATGGTTGAAAACGGTCGAGCAGTAGGAGTTCGGCTTGGTGAACAGTCGTTTTTTTCGATTGGATTTTGATACAGCAGCCGGAAAAAACGTTCATAGTGCGCGAATCTGGCGGCTCGGCGGGCGAAATGCGCGGTCTGCCCGCCAAGTTGCACGGATCTGGCGGCGAATATTCAGTTTTCCCGTGGCTCAAAGTCATCTAAAAAAGAAACGCAGTTTCCCATCTTTTGACCAGGAAAAAAAAAAAAAAAAAAACATTGTATTCTGCTCCTTGGAGAGGGGGGGAAGAGAGCAGAGTTATTACAGTCTTTCCAGGTTTGAAAGGTTGCCAGCTGCAGCAGGGATTGACCCAGTGAGTTGGTTTTCTTGAAGGTATCTGTAGTGGCAATGAGAGGAGAGATAAAAGAAGGGTTGCAGTGGGAATTGAGGAGCTGATCGCTAAAAAAAAAAATCGTGTGTTGATGAACACGAATAAGGCATTTCATAGATCAAGGCAGTTCAAGCATGAATCGTGGATCGGAGGCTTAAGAGGCAACAAAAGCACAATGACAGCATGATGAACGTCGTCTCTGATATGTGTTGGGTAGAAATTAGTAAAACCGGGTAATTACCCGACCCGACCCGGTTTTGCCCTACCCGCGATCGGGTCAGGGTCGGGTCGCGTCGGGTAATTTCCGGGTAATGTTTGGAGGTCTGTTACCCGACCCGGCGGTTTTAATACCGGGTAATTGGGTACCCGTCTGGTGGGTCGGGTATACCCGATCTGCATTTAATTGAAGTCGGGTAATATTACCGGGGTACCCCAAGGTGGCTGTCAAATTCAGCAAACCTGGATAACAAACCCGAATTCGGGTCGGGTACCCGCGACCCGACCCGGCCGGGTCATTCATCAAAATCCTATTAGCCGACCCGGTCAAAATGTCGGGTCGGGTGGGGTACCCATGACCCGACCGGGTAAAATGCTCAAGTCTAGAGTTGGGGGTGGGAGAATTGAGAATGGGGGTCTTTTTCTCCCGGTCCAAGGTTTGTGTCATACATACATAGATTACAGGAGGGGAAAACAGGGGGAGAAAAGAAGAGCGGATGATACAAGGGGTGGACCAAAAGGGAAGCAAGCAAAGAGCGCGGACGATGTGAAGTGAGAGGTGAGGAGACGAGAAGGTGCATAGCAAGGGACGGGAAGAAGAGGCAACACTGCAAAACGAGGGGATACGAATGCAAAGGTGAGAAGTTGAAAGAAAGAATAAGAAGGCAGGCATGGAGAAAACGGAGGAAAACAAAGATAAGAGTTATGAAGTGGAGGAGGGAAGGCATAGAGAGAACCTGGGAACAGAGGAGGGAAAGGAGAGGAGAAACAATCCAAGAAACTGGAGGAGACAGAGTGGAGAGGAGAGGCAGAGATTGCAATGCAGAGCAGAGTCCTCACAGGGCATTCAGGTTTGAAAGGTTGCCAATCGTATCAGGGATTGAGCCAATGAGCTGATTGCCAACAAGATATCTGAGATGATGAACACGACATGCCGTGGAAAATCGCAGAGAGTTCAAGGTTTGCACGCAAGCATATGGTAGAAAGGAGACTATCCTAACCCAGACAATACAAGAGAAGCACAATGGGAGCGTGGTGAACATTGCCTCCGAGATGTGTGCAGACAATAGCAAGAGATGGGGTGGGAGAATTTAGAATGGGGGTCTTTCTCTCCTGGTCCAAGGTTTGTCAAAGAAATGGGGGCAGCATGGAAGAGGGGAGGAGACAAGGGATGAACAAAAAGGAAGGAGGGAGTGGCGATGACGTGAGGTGAGGACAAGAGACGCTGTGTACAGAAAGAAGAGGAGATAGTGCAAGCAAAACGAGTGGAAAAAAATGAAAAGGCTCACAACGGAATGGGCTGGGAAGGAGAGAGAGAAGGTGAGACTAAGGTAAAAGAAACTATAGGAAGGCAGGCATGAAGAAAATGGAGGGAAACACGGAGAGTAGGGACGAAGGAAGAAGGAATTTACGGAACCTAGGAACAGAGGAGAGAAGGGGAGAGGAACGAAAGAAAGGGGGCAAAAACAGAGATGGTTGGTAATGAAGAAAGGGGGCAAAAGGAGATTTTTTTAATGATGGGGACGAGGATAAGCAAATGGCAGACATGTCCTTCGATGCCTCCAATGAGCCCGTGGAAGTAAAGCAGGGACAGAGTGAGTGAGCAAGCCATTGTTACACTCGACTCGAGTAGCTGCTGCCAGTTTATGGAAGCTGCCTAGCAGCTAGCGGCAGCTTCCACAGACTGGCAGGAATCAATCCATGTGCTGGGAATCAACCAGAGTCTCGCTAGCCCTACTTTGCCGCAGGGACATCCGCATAGAACCCACTTTGCTGTAAGTTCACGATCTAGACTCACTCGACATCGGCAAACCCATACTGGAATGGGTCCAGTCTGGCGCCGACGCGCCATGCACCCCATTTAGACATGGGCAGCATGCCGAGCCTGGCTCGACTCGACCTTGAGCCAGGTAAAATTCGAGCCGAGCCGACTCGACTCGACCCAAGCCGGCTGCCCCAAAATGGTTGGCTCGACTCGGGGGTTCATGGTCGAGCCAAGGGTCGGCTTGACTTTGGCTCGGCTCGGCTCGACTCGACTCGCCAAAAGGGTTTCTTTTCTTATGAAGATTTTGAAAAGTCTTGCTACATCGCTATTTTGGAGAGCTAAGGGTTTACTGAAGGCCAGCTTGTGTTCCCGGCAGCGTGGTGGCAATTTGAGACTTTCAATAGATTGTTTAGGGGGTAGGGACCTTGATAGATCGTGCAACATCTAGCCGAGCTCGTGTGTGTGTGTGTGTTTTTCTATTGTAACTTTGAACCAGCATCTACGCATGCATAGTAAACGTGCTTTTCGACGGGTAATCCCTAGTCAAGGGGTACGCATCCAAGTTAACAAACAACAAGTACCACATGCATGCGCGCAACGATGCCCATGAGCTCATTGCTAGGTTCACCGAGCAAGCACGCATAGCAACATCAAAGAGGACCAAAGTACCCAAGTCTCAAGGCATCCACTCCACTCAGCCTACACCTAGCGCTCCTCCACCCAAAACTCTGCCGTGTTCTGGGTCCACCCCCTCTCAACCAGCTGCTCGCCTTGGTGTGTGTGCGTCCATGCCTTGAGAGTCATGGCAGCTCACACGCTATCGGCGTTCAGCCGATGGCGCTGACGAGTGGTCATGTTCCTGCTCATGCTGAAAACACACTCACTCGCCGCCGATGTTGCAGGCAACGCCAGATAGTCTGTGGCCGTTGCCTGTAACACAGGCATGTCCGGGCGTCCACGCCAGTACACAAGAGGACATCCCTTGTGCAGGGTCTCCTCTATGTACTTGTCTATCTCATCCCGCACCTGTGTGCCCCTCTGAGCTGCACGCGCCTGCAGCTTTGCTTGCAGGCGGTCGCTCAAACCCCCCCGCTCCACAGGACTAGGTCCTGCCATGCTTGCCCCTGTGCCCACCCCTGGACCGTCGTGCCCAACCTCCTGAGCCTGCCACTGCGCCTGCTCCCGCTACCCCTGCTCGCTGTACTTCCTGTAGCGCGCGCGCACCAGGGTGAGCACCTCTACGGTGGTGAACTCATTCATTGCCCTGCCCACGTCAACCTCTGGGTCAGGTGGTGCGAGCCCCTCCTCCTCCTCCTCCTCCTCCTCCTCCTCCTCCTCCTCCTCCTCCTCCTCCTCCTCCTCCTCCTCCTCCTCCTCCTCCTCCTCCTCCTCCTCCACAAATTAAAGTCGCGCGTGATCCAGTGCGCGGTCACCACCATGTACCCACACCTGTTCCCCCCTAACCAGATGTCAGTTGTGAATGAGACGCAACCACTACCCGAAACCACGCCAAACTCAGCACTCGTCTACTCGCGCGCACGGCCAGCAAAATACCGGACGTCACGAGACACAGTAATGCGGTCAGGGATTGTGATCTCCTTGCCGCAGAGCGAGTTGCATATCGTGAGCAGCTGCCGAAAATATTGGGCGGACAGCGGCGAAGAACAAGTGTGGGTGGGACAAGCAACAGATCAAGGACAAGGTCAAATGGCACGCGTTGGCATAGCATGAGATGGCATGCCAGGGCATGGCGCGGCATAGCATGGCATGCCATGGCATGAAAGGGCATGGAATGGTAGGGCATCACATGGCTGAGCTTGGCACCGCAAAAAATAGGACATCATAGAAGCGAATAGCATGGAGTAGTGTGGCATGGCATCATGGCATGTGCGTCGGTGCAAGACAAGGCAAACGAGCCATCAACGGGTGAGATAAGCGAACGCTTGCTGAAGTGATAGAGATGCTGAACGCTCACCGATGGGTTCTCAACGGTGCGAAAGGAGACGTCAGCGTCGACGACATACTGCGCGATGGACTGGCGCAGACGCGCCTCCGACAAGCGGGTGCTCATGAATCGGTCAAGAGTCTCCTGACCCGCCCCAACTGCCGCCTCTGCTGGAACAGCACCCCCTCTGGAGGATGTGGCCACGTGTTGACCCAGGGCCCGGGCTTGTACTTGTCAGGGACGTGCTTGTGCCCCCCCTGTGGGAACGTCTTGCCTGGAGACAGTCCCTCACGAATGCGCCGCTGCCATATGAACCAGTGGGGGGCATGGTGTCGAACCATGTGCCTCTGACCAGTACTAGTCTGGCTATCCCCAAAGGTCAGAAGCTCACCGCACCGCTTGCACGCCCTCGTCTTGTTGTCGGGCCCTCGGGGTCCAAAGCACTCCTTAACCTTCTGGTCAAACTTAGCCCCTAGAAGTGGTCCAAGACCGCCAACCCCACCAGCCCTCGCCCCCTGCCCTGCACCACGCCCCATCTCCCCCCGGGTCCCTAGCTCCAGCAGCAGCCGCCCCTGCAGAAGCCGTCCTTCCTCCACCCCCCTGTCCACCCCCGTCACCAGATTCCCCAACCCCTCCATTGCCCCCTCGGCCTCCGGCGCGGGCATTAGCCCGCCCCCCACCAGCCCCGTGGTGCGTGGTCGCTTGCCCCCCTCTCTGGCCCCCTGACCCCGTTGCCTCCTCTTCTCCAAAACCCCCCCCCACCACCGTGTCTCCCACCACCCTCGCCCTCCACATCCCCCCCTTCTTCCCTCTCCCCCTCCCCCACCTCTTCCTCCTCCACCTCTAACTCCACCTCGTCGTCGATGTCCTCCTCTTGCACGCCGTCCCCCTGCTGCCACTCGCCATCACTCCCATCATCCGCTCCCCCCTCCTCCTCCTCCCCCCCCTCCCACCTCCCCCTCCCCCTCCCACCTCCCCCTTCCCCCTCCCCCTCCCCCCTCCCCCTCCCCCTCCCCCTCCCCCCCCCCTCCCCCTCCCCTCGCCCCCCCCCCCCCCTCCCCCCCCCCCCCCTCCCCGTAATTTACGGCCGTATAATACGAATATGACGGTTCGAAATCACCTCTTTTGCGTTGGTTTTAAAAAAGGCCGTTTTTTCCTGCCGTTTTTTCTAAACCTAAGGTGTACATTCACAATGTCGAGTTTTGTATCAGAATTCTGGGGGTGAGGATACATGCACACCCCCAAATGTACAAAGTCAACGCTTTCCTGAAGCGAGAATTCTCCCGAAACCCGAGTCCCGCGTTTTTCGAAATTTTGCTGGGCCGTTACGAAAGAACCCGTTGGTTCTTTTCACGCCCAGGAGGGTGGTTTCGCGCAAGTTACAAAACAGAGGAGGAGGGAGCGGCTGAGGATGACGAGGCGGAATAGGAGGAGGCGGCGGAGGAGGAGGAGGAGGAGGAGGAGGAGTAGGAGGAGGAGGTAGGGAATAGGGGGAAATAGGGGTCCCGGACGTCACACCTCTCTAGATCGTGTTTGTAGCTGCCACATAAAGAAGCATTCACTTGACGTTTGAGCCGCATAGGAGCCATTCTCCCTTGGAAAAAACAAAATATGTGCTCTATTAAAATTATGCCGTGTTTTTCCCAAACTGCCCGTAAAAAACGGTCGTAATTTACGGACCGTATATTACGAAAACCGCAATTTTGAATCTTGGCGCTCTTAGGAAAAGGTCCCTAAACCCTTAGATCCTTCCTACAAGAGTAAAAGGTAGACGAAAATAATGTAAAGAAGTGGTGTTGGTGGAGTGAGGGCAAGCTATGGTGGCGAAATAGCCTAGATGCACGCTTAGGCTCGCTGGAAGTCGAAAACCTGAAATGGATTTTCGACTTCGAATTTTGACCCCCCGCTGGCGAGCTGCGCACTTCGGGAGTCGAGCCAAATTCGAGCCAGAGTCGAGCCGGCTCAACTGTGGCTCGCCATGAAATTTGTGACGAGTCGAGCCGAGCCGCGCGGCTCGACCGGCTCGACCCGGCTCGACTCGCCTTATTGGCGAGTCGAGCCGGGTCGGCCCGAGCTTGGCTTGGCATGCTGCCCATGTCTAACCCCATTCATTAGAGAGGTTACTTGTACGTGGGCTGGAGAGGAGAGAAAAAAAAAGAGGGCTACAAAGTGAGGGAAGGAGGGGAGAAATGGAGGGGACGAGATTGCAGCGCAGAAAATACTCCTTACATACAGTTGTTCCAGGTTTGAAAGGTTGCCAATTGCAGCGGGCATTGAGCCAGTGAGCTGATTGTAATGAAGTAGTCTGTGATGATGAACACAACGAATGAGGCGCGTGGTAGATAAGCGCATGGTAGAAAAATCAAGTTCGCAGGGAAACGAATGGTAGCAAGGAGGGTACTCATAAAATACAACAGAAGCAAAATGGCAGCCTTATATTATACCAATAGCAGGGAATGGATGGGTGGCAAGGTTCAAAATTACGGCGTTCGTGATATATACATACAGGAGTTGGGGAGGAATGGGGGGAGCAAGCAAGAGGAGATGGAGGAGAGAGACGGTGTGCACAAACAAGGGGAGGAGGGAAAGGGTGGGGATGATGTGAGGTGGACAAGAAAAAAGCAGTAGACAGACACGAGAATGAAAAGGCTTGGAGCGGAATGGACTGGGAAGGAGAGAAAGTGAGAATAAATGTTTTTTTTTAAGGAATGAGAGATGGTGAGAAAAGTAGAGGGCGACAAAAGGAGATGTCAAATAACAGGGATTGAGCCTCCAATGAGCTGATGGAAGCATAGCAGGGATGGAGTGAGTGAGCAAGCCATCGCTACACTCGACTCGAGTAGCTGCTGCCATTTGGTGCGACCCTGTGCTGCTGGTGTGCTAAGCAAGGTTGAAAAAAACGGCAGGCCGTTTTTTTCGGTCATTTAGAACGGTTTTTTTTTTTTTTTTTAACACCGTTTTTTTTAAAGAGATTTTCTTCCAAATTTCAAAAAACAAAAACAGGGACAGAAGGGGAAAAAATAGACGACTATTGGTGGTGGCTATGGCAGGCATAGTAGGGGTCCTAACTGAGCTAAATAGGTCCGCCAAAGATCGAATCTGCCGCATATTCCTCCTACTAGTTATTTCCCCCCTACACTACCTCCTACCTACCCATCCTCCTCCTCATCCACCTACCCCTCCTCCTACCCCTTCTCCTCCCCCTACTCATCGTCCTCCTCCTCCTCCTCTTCCTCCTCCTCCTCCTCCTCCTCCTCCTCCTCCTCCTCCTCCTCCTCCTCCTCCTCCTCCTCCTCCTCCTCCTCCCCCGAATCCTCCTTGTCCTCCTCCTCGGCCTCCTCCTCCTCTTCCTCATTGTCCTCCTCGTCCTCGTCGTCCTCGTCGTCGTCCTCCTCCTCCGCCGACCCCCCCCCAAACCCTCCCCCCTCTCCCACGCCGAGATCCCATGGTCCGCGGACTTCCTCCTCATTGTCCTCCTCGTCCTCCTCCTCCTCCTCCCGTGCCCTCTTTCCCTTCCCCTTCCCCTTCCCCTTTCCCTTCGCCTTCTCATTCCCCTTCCCCTTCCCCTACCCCTTCCCCTTATCTAGGGTTGAGCATACTACCCGCCCGGGTCGGGTACCCGGTACCCGGATCCGCTTTTAGGGCGGGTCGGGTATCGGAAATCGTGAATATTACCCGGCGGGTCGGGTCCGGGTTACCCGGGCGGGTATTCAATACCCGGTACCCGAAATGCTACCCGACGTGTCGGGTAGCGGGTACCCGACCCGAAATCGGGTAGCGGTCTACCCGACGGAACCAGCGAGACATTAGTCGCGCTGGTAGAGAAATTTCATCAAGTTTCTAGGTTACGTGAGTTGCTAGGTCACTTAGAGCATTGTAGATTGGCAAGGGTTGGGTTTCGTAGATACAGATGCATTCAGAGTGGTAATACCGGGTCGGGTATACCCGGACCCGCCAGGTGGGTATTAAATTACCCGCCCCCAAATCCCGGGTCCGGGTATTGGTCCTGGGCATGTTACCCGACCCGTACCCGACCCGAAAATACCCGACCCGAAGTCGGGTATAGCAAAACCGGGTCGGGTCGGGTAAATACCCGGTTTTGCTCATGCCTACCCTTATCCTTCCCCTTATCCTTCCCCTTATCCTTCCCCTTATCCTTCCCTTTCCCCGAGCCCTTTGCCTTCTTCGAACTGCTGCTGTACACCCACGGTTTCAAAAATTCGACCGTATAAAACGACCGTTTTTTTCAACCAAAAAAAAGCTAACTTTCAGAACCGTTTGAACCATTTAAAACGACCGAAAAATACGGTACCGTAGCAAACGGTCTAAATATGAAAAAAACGCCGTTTTTTAAACCCTGATACCAATGCAGCAAGCAACACACACCCTTAGCTACTGCGTACAGCAGGGAATCAACCAGATTCTCGCAGACACCATATTAGCCCTACCGGAACGTCCACAGCCGCTTCGCCTCTAGTTCGTTATCTAGACTCACTTGACTCTGGCAAATCCACACTGGAATGGGTCCAGTCTGGTACCATGCACCCCATTCGAGAAAGAGGTTAGTGGCTAGTGGACTGGTGAGGAGTGGAGGAAGGGATGCCTACAATGGAAGGGAAGGAGAGGATAGTTTTTTCCTAGAATCAGGAGGAGACAGAGTGGAGAGCAGGGGCAGACATTGCAGTGCAGAACAGAGTCCTCACAGGGTATTCAGGTTTGAAAGGTTGCCAATTGCAGTGGGGATTGAGCCAGTGAGCTGATTTCGATAAAGATATCTATGATGATGAACACGAACGAGGCATTCCAAGTTTGCATGGAAACGAATGGTACAAAGGGGGATGTTCTCTCCTGGTCTAAGGTTTGTAATATATACAGACACCAGGGGAGGAATGGGGGGGGCATGCAAGAGAAGATGGGAGAGGAGAGGCACGGTGTGCCGTGCACAAACAAGGGGAGTAAGGAAAGGGTGGGGATGATGTGAGGTGGAGATAGGGTTGAGCAAAATACCCGCGCGGGGCGGGTACCCGGACCCGGATCCGCTTTAAGGGCAGGTCGGGTATGAGGATTCCCGAATATTACCCGGCGGGTTGGGTCCGGGTTACCCGGCGGGTATTCGATACCCGTTACCCGAAATCTTACCCGACTTGTCGGGTAACGGGTACCCGACCCGCCGGGTATTGAATACCCGAATTCGGGTACCCGCCCCTCTCATGCTGGCAAAAACGCAGTGCAACCGGGTTTAGGTTGTCGATGTCGACGCCCAACCCGGGGGGGCACCATGACAAACACACCAATGGCAACAGAGGGTACAACAGAGGTTGTTCAGGCATTTTGTCATGGGCGGGTAGCAATACCCGCTTTTAGCCTAAACTGGGCCGGGTATACCCGTATCCGCCTGGCGGGTATTATATTACCTGCCATTAAGGGCCGGATCCGGGTAATGGTCCTGGGGGTATTACCCGACCCGGACCCGACCCGAAAATACCCGACCCGAGGTCGAGTATGGATAAACCGGGTCAGGTCGGGTATTTATCCGGTTTTGCTCATCCCTAGGTGGAGAAGAGCAGTAGAGTGGAAAGTGCAAAACGAGTCGGAAAAATGCAAAGGCTCGTAGCAGAATGGGCTGGGAAGGAGAGAAGGTGAGTGAGGATATGTAAAAGAAACAATAGGAAGCAGGTGTGAAGGAAACAGAGGGGGAAAAGGACACGAGTAATAAAGAGGAAGTGCGAAGGAATAGAGAGAACCTGGGAGCAGAGGAAAGGAGAGGACAAGAAATGAGAGATGGTAAGAACAGGATATATTTTGAATAATGGGGAGGGGAGGAGGATAACCAAATGCCCAGAGATGTCCTTTGATGCCTCCAATTAGCCCATGGAAGCATAGCAGGGATGGAGTGAGTGAGCAAGCCATCGCTACACTCGACTCGAGTAGCTGCTGCCAGTTTGTGGAAGCTGTCTTGCAGCTTGGGGCATGTGCGACCCTGTGCTGATACCAAGGTGCAAAAAAACGGCGTTTTTTACCTTTTTTGACCGTTTAAAACGGGATCGTATAAAACGGTCGTATAATACGATTAAAACGGTCAAAAGTTGCATTTTGCGTTTGGTGCAAAAAAACGGCCGTTTTATACGACCGTTTTTTTCGTACCACCGTATAATACGGTGTACATTGCTTTTGGCCGAGCTAATAACGCTTAGGGGGGGGAGGACAAGGGGGGGGAGGACTAGGTGGATGACGCTTAGGAGGAGGAGGATGGGGGGGATGGTGGAGTAGGAGCAGAATGAGACCTAGAAGGCGACGGACTAGGGGCATGGACATCACATACCTGTTTCAAAGCCGCTAATTACCCCGTAGAACGATGCAGGCCGCCTTAGCAATCAGGCCACTTGTTTACGCGTGCTTTTTATACATAAAGAAAGAAAGAAAGAAAAAATCATGAAAAAAGGTCTAACAAAAAAACGTCGTTTTTTACCAAAACCCACCGTAAAAAACGGCCGTTTAAAACGGACCGTTTAATACGGATGCCGTTTTTTTGCACCTTGGCTGATACCAATGCAGCAACCCTCCATTGGTTACTGGGCCAGAGTCTCATCCCAAATTTATGAAATCCCTTGTATCCGACCAATTAATATTAGGATGGAACCAGTTGAGTCCAGTATCGTGCAACCGAAGTACATGGTTTAAGGTTCCGGGGTGGGAGATACAGGATGTTGTAGTGGTGACTTTACTGCAAATGGGAGTCGAAAAAAGTGCAGGGTGTTGTAATTAGACATGGGCATGAGCCGAGCCTGGCTCGGCTCGGCTCGTCCAGGGGTCGAGCCGAGCCGGCTCGCCGTCGAGCCTGGCACCAAACATGCCTGGCTCGGCTCGCATTTCTGTGGGCGAGCCAGGGCTGGCTCGACGGCGAGCCGGCTCGGCTCGGCTCGCCTAGCATGCACTTAAGCCAACAGTAGTGTGGGTGGAGCCTATGCAAGCGCGCGTTGTTAAGAGTGGCGCGGCCTGCTTAAGATTTCTCGCGCGAACTAACCTAATGATATACTCCTAGGCGCGCAGAATTCTAGGGATCGCGGAATTGACGGGAAGTGGATTGTGAGGAGGAAGGAGGGTTTAGGAGATTAGGTTGGAAGTTGTAGATGCAATAGTGTGCAGTGCGGTTGAGCGGGGCAAAAGGGTTGGATGTGTTTTTGGTCGTCAAAGTTTGGGGTTGCGACTGGTTGAATTTGCGAGGTCGCAATGTCGTGGGAAAGAATTCCGCGTCAAACATTTTGGGTGGGCGTTTAGCGTTTACCCTTTAAACGCAGCATTTAAACGATAAACGCTGCACCGCCAGAGCGATTGCGGGAACATAGACTAGGAGTTGTTGGCGGGAGAGAGAAATGGGAGACACGTTTTGTCGAGGGGAAAAAATTACCCTTGAAATCGAGTGGCGAGCCACCTGGCTCGAAATCGAGCCGGGGACGAGCCGGCTCGACCCCGGCTCGACGAGGACATTGTGTACGAGCCGAGTCGAGCCGGCTGGCTCAACCGAGTCGAGCCGGCTCGGCTCGAGTCGAGCCGGATCCCGAAAAGAAAGGCTCGGCTCGCCATTTTTGGCGAGCCGAGCCGGATGTGGCTCGGCTTGTGCCCATGTCTAGTTGTAATGGAGAGCGAAGGAAAAATACAAGTATAATGTATTCCAAGACGCAGGAAGAAGTAGAGAGGAGAGGAGGGGCAGGCAGAGATGTGAGGAACAAGGCAGAGGCCTTACATATTGACCAGGTTTGTAAGTATGCCGATTGTAGTGGGAATTGAGCCAGAGAGATGACTTTGTACGAGATATCTGTAAGATGATACGCACAATAGTGGAGAGATGATGAGCAAAAGAAGAGAATGCGACACGGGAGAAGAGAATGACCACCAGGTTCTGTCAACGAGCCAGTGGTGGAAGGAAAGGAAAAGGAAAACAGAAAAGGAGGAACAAGTGGAAAGGATCAGAACAGGCGATGATCAAACAGCAGTATTGTAAAGAAAGTATGAAGCTGTAGAAAGAGAGAAGAAAAGGCAAAGCAAGACAACATAGGCGGGAGTGAGGAAGGAGGTGCCACAGGCAAAGCAGCAGAAGTGAGGAGGGACAGGGAGCGGATGGTTGGGACACAAAAACACTGGATCTAGCCCTCAACTTGCACTTTTCACGTTCGTCTACCCTCTACCAGCCCTCTCCTGTCCTTCTTTCCCCACCCCCTGCCTTGTCCTCACCATTCCACTTCCCACGGCTCACCCCACCAGGCCTTGCAGGCAGGCGGTTCAACGAGTTGCAGAGGACGTACAGGGCAGTGAGCTTCCTGAGGTTGCCTATGGAGTCCGGAATGGGCCCTCGCAGATCAATCCACAAGATGTTTCTGCACACAAACATGTCGTTACACAGTAACCAACATCACCCATGACAACACGAGATTGAAAGGGTGCCAACGTGTTCGTTCAGAGAGTCCGCCCTCGCAAGGACCTCACGCATTTGCTGAGAGGCAGCAGCGACTTCGCTGGTGGGCCACGCCAGCGGACAGGATCATTCGCTGGGTTCGCGCTGGTCACATCCGCTACGACCACTCTGATCAGGCGGAAAATGTGACAACTGGGATCAGAACTGATCCCTAGGCTCTCAAACCCTAGTAGGCTCTCAAACCCTAGTAGGCTCTCGAACCCTAGGCTCTGGATACCAAATGTAACAAATCGTTCCCCTTGGCCACTGGGCAAAAACGAGTGTTACCCAGAGTCCCAACGCTTGCATTTCAACGCCCTCAGACGTCACATCTTACATTTCCACGATCATCCCACTGCTGTCGCATTTGACGTTCTCAGCACGTCTGCAGTCGGGATTGGAGCCACTCCACCCTGGGAAGACCACATCCCACGCCGTCTGGCAGTCCTGCAGGAATTTCACTGCGGGATGGTGGAGGGGGTGGAGAAGCAGGGGAGATGGGGCGATGGAGGGAAAAAGGCGTGCTGTAGGGGGGAAGAAGGGGGGGGGGGGGGGGGGGGGAGGGGGAGGAGGGGAGGGGCGGGGGGGGGACTGCGAGAGTTGGGGGAAACGGTGGTTGTGATGTGTTCGGTAGCGGGGAGAGGTTCAACGCAGAAGTTTTTTGTGATGGTTTTTTCTATTATCGTTCTATGATTGCAACGGCCTCACCTTGCGAGGCCTGGAGCGGCACGGCATGGATCATTGCGAAGGGCGCCACGGCAAGGGCGGCGAGGCACCATGCGAGTGATAGGGCGCGCTGCACCCGCTCACGCACCATGGCTGGAGAGTCTAAACTTCTACTGAAATATGACTCGTTCTTGCTAGAAGAACGTTCTCCAGACCGGCTTTTCCGCCGACGGAGGGAGGTGTAAGCGCGCGGTGGATGGCGCTTCGAGAGAAGAGGGCCGAGACGAGTCAACGAATGAAACCCTTCCAACTTCACTGCTATGGGCGTGAGGCTCAATCTCGGAGGTCCAGTACCGCTAGTGCAAGTGTTGCTAAAATCATTCCCGCAAGCAGCAGAGCGGCGCGCGGCGAGGAGTGGTATGCATGCTTGAGGAGCTGGGCAAAGGAATTAGGCACAGCACTGCCATTGATAGCCACAATCGCCTTGTGCTGCAGGAACGTGATTCCATCCGAGGAAGGCTCGTGACGAAGCTTCCACGGCACCAAATCCGGAGCCGTTCGTCTGCACGAAAGGAATCGGCTGGCATGGGGGCTGGCTTTGGGCGGTAGGTGGAAGCGTGGCAATTTCGTTCGATTACGAACCCGTGCAATCATAACCACCGCCAGCGTCCGTTTGCGTTACGCGAATTTCGGATCTCGGATTTTGCAGCGAAACAGCGCACACGAGAAAGTGAACAGTGCTTTGGTGGGTGTGGCTGCAAATTCCGCGAGGTTTTCTTCTAGGAAAAACAAGGGTCGACTAATTTGTCTTAGGGTTGCGGAGATATATTATGCGATTTTGAAACGTTTTTCATGTACCATACGTCACATTTCAAATGTGTGCATAAGAATGGCTTTCATTTCAGGGGCGTCACCTAGGCAGCCCCTGGAATCTCATCGGCCCCTCGCGCCCAGCCGACACCTCTCGCGCCGTAGCCAGCCCCTAGCGCCTAGGTGGCCCCTTTGTACCGTACCCGGCCACTCGCGCCTAGCCGACCCTTCTCACCTAGCCAGCCCCTTGCGCCTAGCCGGTCCCCCTTACCTAGCTGGCCCCTTGCGCCTAGCCAGCCCCTCTCACCTAGCCGGCCCCTTGCACCTAGCCGGTCCCTCTCACCTAGCCGGCCTCTCGCGCCTAACAGACCCCTTTCGCCTAGCCGGCCCCTCGCGCCTAGCCGGCCCCTCACCTAGCTGGCCCCTCGCGCCTAGCTGGCCCCTCGTGCCTTGCCGGCCCCTCGCGCCCAGCCGGCCCCTCGGGCCTAGCCGGCCCCCCCTCTCACCTAGCCGGCCCCTCGTGTGCTTAGCTGGCCCCTCGCGTTCTCGCCGGCCCCTCACGCGCCCAGCCGGCCCTTCATGCTCCCCGGGCCCTCCTACACCTCCTCAGCTCCTCGCGTGCCCTCCTGACCCCAGCGCTCCGCCGGCCTTTCGCGCACTACCGACTCTGCGCTTCCCGGGCCCTGGGGCCTCGGGCCCTCCTCGGCCTTCTTGCCCGGTTTTCCAGCCGAAGGCCCCTGCAGTTGTACTGCCGTGACGCTGTGCCGCCATGAAACTGTGGACCTATGCCACTGAGGCTGTGCATGGCGGACGCTGTACTTCAATTGGACAGAGAGGGGCACGCAATCGACTTCGTTGCCTGGCTGGTCGATCTTCGCCGGCACCTGACAGGACAGCGCCAGGATGGGTACTCCCTTGCTATGCATGTTGATGGCTTGCTTCCCCGCCCCTCTGCGCGTGATCCCCTCTCTGCTGACCCCAGCACTACTGAGAGTGCAGCATTTGCTACTACTGCACTTGCTCGCGTTGTCTGGGATTCTCGCAATGCTGTAGTGCAGCTTGCCATTAGTCGTGCGCTTCCTTTGACTGAGCGTCCGTGCTTCACTGCTGTCGCAAACGCCAAGGACTTCCTATATGCAGTAGTTGTGCGCTATTCCACCCCTGCCTCTGCCTTTGCTGGCTGCTGGATCCTCCCCATGCTATACCCTGACCTGCTCGCTTTCCCCAAAGTCGCTGACCTCGCTACTCACCTTCGTGCACTAGAGACTAGTTACCGCGCTGCAAGCACTGCTGCTCAGCTCACTGCCTTCTCCCCACCGTTCTACACTACCCCGTATCTCATTGCCATGTGCCTGCCTGACCGCTTAGCCACTGCCCACAACCAATTCCTTAGCCAGCACCCCGGCGACCTCATACTGACCGCCTTTGTCACTGCCCTATCAGAGATAGAGACTCGCCAGCGCAATATCGCTCAGTCGAGCGGTGTTGCGGCGGTCCCTATCTTTCAAGGGTGTGCTCCTTCCCAGTGCACCTACGCTGACGTTTCCGCAGCAGTCGCTACGACTGCCCTTGCTACTAAGACCGCAGCTGCGGTGCTCCTGCAGTAGTGCCAGTGTTGGGGCCGTCGTGGCCCCAAGGGGGGGCGAGGTGGTGGTGCTGGTAGTGGTAGGGGTGTTGGCGGGGACAATAGTACTAACGAGGGAGTTAGGGCTGGTGTCCAGGAGCAGCAGCAGCCGCAGTCGCAGCAGCAGCAGCAGCACCCGTAGCAGCAGCACCACCACCACCAGCCGCAGCAGCAGCAGCAGCCGTGGGCCCGCCTCCCGTCGGGGTGGCCAAGAGCCTCTGGAGGTGGTGGCCGCGGTGGCGGCCCTCGCAGCTCGGCGCTCATCGACGGTGTCGGTGTTGTGAGCTGCCAGTACCAGCTCCAGACCAAGCCCCTTTGCGGTACTGTGTGCCGCCGCCTGCACCTGACCGCCCGCTGCTTTCGCCGCCTTGACGACCTCTTTCGTTGCAGCTTCGGACCTCCTTGGCTGGCACAGTCTGCTGTGCTACGGTGTTCCTGTTTTTGAGTTAGACATGGATCGGATTAGTTGTGCCTTGCATTCTTTGTATGCTGACGCTTCTAGTGTGTCCGGACCTTATTACCCTGTGTGTAGCACAGAATCCCTTGCTGCGTCAGGCATAGGACCCTTAGCTTTGTCTAGCCTAGGCTCCACACTCGCTCCTCCTTCGTCTGCTGCTGCCTTGCTGTCCTTCACCCTTGACTCCGTGACCATGCCACTCTCACGCCGCTTGCTGCGCCTGTCGCTGTCGCCGTTGCTGACCCCTCTTCTGGCTCTATAGTTGCTCGCAGCTACACTACCCTTCCCTGTCCAATGGTCCCCTCGAGGTTCCCTTACAAGCCTGCACATCCCATCGTTCTCCACGAACTTAGTTGGTGTCGGCTGTCTTCAGGACCTCGGCGTCACCACTATGTTTCCTGGTCACGAGCGGTACGTTGTCTGTACCGAGGCCGTCTCACGTTCCCCCATTGTGATGATCCCCGGGACCCAGTGTCTGGCCTGTTTACGTTAGGCACTGCTTCCCCCACGGTTGGTGCGTCGTCCCCAGGCCCTGCGTCTTCCTAGGTCGCTGCGCCTTGCTCGTGTCGGTCGCTCACTCATCCGTTGCTTTTGTGGCACCACCGCCTAAGTCACACCGCACTCCCGCATCAGCGTCACATGTCTCAACACGGTCTAGTCCTAGGTCTCCCTGCATCGCTACCTGCTCTCCTTCACTTGCCTGCGCCGCCGTGTACGCCCTGCGTCGAGGGCCGTTTGCGCCGTGCTCCTCACGCCTCCTCAATTGACCATGCCACCGCACCCCTCCAAACCCTGCACCTGGACGTCTGGGGCCCCGCCCCCGTCCTGGGACCGCGTCGCGAGCGCTACTTTCTCGTGCTCGTTGACAACTTTACACGCCATACTACGGTGTTTCCCCTGGAGCGGAAGGCCGACGTGCCTGACGTTCTTATCACGCGGATCGTAGCTGAGCGTCTCCACTGCGGTCTCCCTGTGTTGTGTCTCCAATCCGACCGTGGCGGCGAGTTCGCCTTTGGTCGGCTTCGACAGTTCTGTCGTGCGGAGGGCATCACCCAGTCGTACACTCTACCGGACTCCCCACAGCAGAATGGGGTCGCTGAGCGACGCATTGGTTTGGTCATGGAGGTGGCTCTTACCGCCATGATTCATGCCGGTGCACCCCATTTTCTGTGGCCATTCGCCGTTTGCTACGTTGGTCACCAGCTTAACCTGTGGCCGCGCTCCCAGCGGCCGCATGTTTTGCTGACCTTCCTCTGGACCGGGTCTCCTGGTGATGCGTCTGCATTCCACGTCTGGGGATGCCTCGCTCACGTTCGTGCCTCTGGCATGGACGAGCTCGCTGCCTGCACTGTGTCTTCCTTGGCTTCCCCCTAGACTCGTCTGACTGGCACTTTTACCACCCACCGTCTCACCACTTCCTTCACTCGCGAGACGTCACTTTCAAGGAGTCTGTCTCCTTCTACCTCTGCTTTCCCCACCGAGGTCTCCCGGTTTCCCCGCCCCTGTTTCTGGTTCCCACTCCCCCAATAGCCCCTTCTCCCCTCCCTCCCCGTCCTGCCCCGTCTGGTGGGTCTCACGTCACTCCCCTCCCATCGGTTGTCCCGGTCGAGGAGTCGGTTGACTCCTGTGGCCCCGCGGCGCAGTTCTCACCGCCTACCTCCCCCCCTGTGTCTCCTTCTCTGCTATCGCAGCCGCCGCCGCAGCAGTCGTCGTCACAGCCGCAGCTGCAGTAGCCATCGCAGCAGCCGCCGCCGCCGCCGCCGTTGCAGCAGCAGCCGTTCGTGGTCTCTGGGGGTGCTGGCATTGAGGAGGGTGCTAGTCCTGGGGCTCCTGTCGTGGCTTGTCCCGGCGGGCTTGGGGGTGGCACCGGTGTTGGAGAGAGCTGTGGTTCTGGGGGTGCTGGCGTGGAGGGTCCCGGAGATAGTTGTGGTGCAGCTGGAGGTTCTGGGGGTGCTTGCGTGGAGTGTTCCAGTGGTAGCCAGGGTGCAGCTAGCCATCCTAGAGTTGGCGTTGAGCAGCAGCAGCAGTCGCCGCCGGTGTCCGCCCTTCGCCTGCTCGGTCTGCCCTCCCCTGACCGCTCACCTGTGCCTTTCCCGGCCCCTCCTCCTCTTCCTGTCTACGGCCTTGTCTTCCCTCCGCCGTACTCGTCTCCAATTCGTCTTCCACGTCGTTCCCCTCTTGTGCCTCCTCCTTTGTCTCCTAATATGACGTCCCCGTCTCACGACTGGTCTCGCCGTCCCTCTCGTGCTCGTCCTTTCTCTCCTGTCCAACATTCTCACCCTGTGTTGCTTCGTTCCCATGCGTCTCGTCCTCCCCTCCTGCCTTCGCCTCCTCCGTCGTCGCTTGTTGTCGCACCTCCTCCTCTGTCTGACTACCTTCGTGCCACTCGTCCTCTTGTTCCTCGGGTCCTTGCATCCCTCGTTATTGACCCGTCTGTTCCTGTCTCGAGTCTTGACGCTCTTGTCGCTGACTTCACCTCTACTGGCCGCCTTCACTATGCCACCGCTCTGGTCTTTGACCCTGTCTGTCC